TTTAATGATGTACATCATTCTCATTCTCATGACACATGTCATATGCGCCATCTAGTGGGTTCTCAACCACACTATCGACAGTCACGCCCAGGACTATTGTCCTCGACACAGTAACAGTGTCTACGAAGTCGGATATTCCGACATCCAACATATTGACCGACTCGGTCCAATATCCGCGCCAAAAGCGCTTTTGCTTCCTAGCAGAGGTGGGTTCATGACTCTCCAGAGCCCCACCAGGAGCATTGCGCGTTGCGCCTAAGGTCTTCGACCTCCAATCAATCCATGGCTCATGACGTTCTAGCCATGCCATGCCTAGGATGAGGTCATACCTCGCATCCAGGTCTAAGACCAAACAGCGTTCTTATGCTGTTAAAGTCCAAGAACTTTACATTTAAGTCCATCGGGACTTTGGGTACCGTAACACGCGTACCCGTCGCTAAGCGAACTGTGACTGTGTCACTTTCACGCGCTACAAGCGCTTCAGCATACTGCTGACTACCTTCCACGGTGTCACGGCGCACATAATTGCCCGATGCCCCCGAATCGATCAAAATGATCCATGGCTTATCATAGCCCTTAATCGTTCCTTCGACGACTAGCAAGCCTGGCTTGCATTCTCGTTCCGTTTTTGAGAGTTCGAATCTCTTTGGGGCTGGGCCCTGTTTACTTCTACCTCCTAAAGGTTCAAAAGAACTCAGTTCTTCCCCGCGAACAAGAGCTTGTCAACGGTTCAGCAGGGCGCCCCGCGCCTACTGGGTTCCGCCGTTTCCCCGCGGCAAACCAGAAGGTTTACCCATGGGGCGTCGGCCCTTCAAGGCCAAATATGCATTTCTTGCAGGACATTTTGCCATCAAATGGTCTGTGCTCTTGAAGATATAACATCTGCGCACAATTTGCTGCTCCGCAGCTTGAAGTTCAGCTTCTTCATCCTCCACTTGACTACAGTCCATGGGTACAGACAGACCCATCAGACGAGTAGTTATAAGTGGCAGGCCTAGCGGCCTTAAAGTTGGTCTCGGCATTCCATGCCGCTCCAACAGCTTCCTCGAATGAGGACGAATTTACCCGAAAGACTTCCGTTCTGGCAACGCCAACTCGGAGGCCCTCCATGAAGACCGTGACGGTCACTGCCTCAGGCATAGGGTCTATGACCATGGCAGCAATGATAGTTCTCAACTCTTGCACATATGCCGCAAGCTCACGCTTGCCTTGGCGACACGCTAAAAACCGCGACCGGTTACGGTATGCTTGATTTGGCGGTGCATACTGCCGGGTCATCTGAACTTTCAGATCGACCCATGTGGGGAAAAGCATCTTGCAATGATGCACCACATGTGAATGCCCACTGTTTGGCTAAACCACCTAACTTGCCCGTGTACGGCTCATAGGTGATGTCGGCTAAAAACATAGCCGGCTCGACCTGTCGGAACCAAAGCATAAGGTTGTCACCTTCTTTGCCGTCGAACTTATCGACTTCCATTTGTATGGATTTTGGTCTGCGGACCACTTCCTGCGCCATAGTCGCCAAGGGCGAAGGCGAAGAAGAAGGCATCTGTGCCTTTACATGCTCGACTAGAGCTTTATTATATTCATCAAGCATATGAATACGCTTGTTAACCTCTTCATCGCCCTGGGCGATGACGTACTCTACGCCCTTAGGGCCAAGGATAGGATAGCAGCTTCTGCAACCCTTCCTGTGGTGCCTGTGACAGGCCAACCGCTGACATCTCATCGACGATGTCCATTCTCACACAGAAAAGTAGTCGCAAACCCAGGTGCGGGATTAACTAAAGTGTTACCAGGTGTAGCAGAGGTACTGTAGCTAAGCTACTTGTGCAGTATGTGCAGATGCACTATGTGCAGAAGAAGCAGTCAAACTACTGTAGCAATGCTAATTATGCACTATGTGCAGAAAAAGTAGTCAAACTACTGTAGCAAAACTACTTATGCACTATGTGCAGAGGAAGACAAGCTCAGAGAGCTTCTACTTCTTAGGGTGTTTGACCCTCCTAGGCTAGCTCGTAAGCTTGTGCCTATCGGTTATTACAACCGAGTCTCAGAGAGCTTAGTATCAGGGATACAATTCCTATACGGAATAGAACGCTCTAGCAACTAGTGCTATACAGAGCAGGTTTGAAATTGTTTCATATTTATGTTTATCTTCTAACACTAATAATGGAAACACCTATCCTATACTTAGTGCTAGTCACTATTTACTGGCTCTATAGCCTGTTATTAGTATGCAAACATGAATAGTCACTATACTTGAATAAGTATAGTGACCACGTGGCTCTTTGCCACGATGTGACCCTTCGTACTTCAGGTACGGTCACATCGAGCCTACTTTTGTACCCAAGGTACAGCCACACCACATTGGTGTGGCAGGTGTGTACGTAAAATACACACCTTCGTGTAACCTCGTTGCAATTTTGGTCGGAACAGATGAGCTTTTAAAACCAGTCACACCAAAGAGGTGAGATCGATATTCTTGTAGCTTAGGTGTATAGAACACATATTGGCAAACCAGCATTGTTTCATTTTTAGCTTTTTATGGATCGTAGTGTTGGCTGGTGTGGCTCTAATTTTCGCTAAAACTATATCCAGCACCCAGCATGTTCGAAGTGCTGATGCTCAAGCCGATTTGTCGGACGATGGATTTAAACGAATCGCATCGAACGGCTTAAGGCTAGCGTAAGATGACATGTACTGCTGGTCAGCATTTATCACGGACACTTAACAAACTGAAGAGGCACAAATAATGCGGAAGAGACCAACACACATTCCAGATGAGATAAAAGTTTTCCATAATGACCCAAAAGCTGCTATAGACGAGTTGTTCATGAAGCGCTTTCGTGATGACGTTAGCAGGAAAGCAGTTACGCAGCAGCTATACTTTTGGGCATCGGATGTATTATCATATGGTCTCAACCACTTTGACTCATACCTTGCAATGATCGAACCGTTGACTCGACATTTTGGAAATGTGGGCTTGCAAAAACTGCTCAAAAAAAGAAGCAACATTGGTTTTATTGACGACGTCTTCTAGCATATGCGGCAAGCGCAATTGATCTACTTGGGAAGTTAACGCAATGTGGAACCTACCCGATGTCCTCAAGCTACTACATTTTGACGCAGGAAGGATAAACCAACTACGAGAATTCCCTTTAGAGGACTGGAAAGTATACTGCCTATATCGACACGTGCAGGCAGATGATATTCTGATCACGGTAATGAAAGAGATTCATAGCGAGGAGGAGATTGCTCGTATTCTTAAAGATCCCGCGAGTGGCTTCAACGGAGGAGGTGTCCGTACGCTTGGGTTGGCGCTGCTCAGACACACAAAGAAATCCCAATCCCCTAACGCTGCGTTTTCGTTGATGCGGCTCAATCAGAGGGGTTTCTTGACACGCCGCTTATTTTCTTCGTGGTTACAGTACATGGAACATACAATAAAGCAGGAGACTGTAACATTTGTGGTTGGCAAACTGAAGGAATTGTACAAGACGAAGGCTGAAGTTGTTGCCGCGCTAGACGTAGCAGAATTTCAATGGAAAGAGTTGGCGGGATTGTGGGTGAAAAAATTTCCGGCAAGCTGGTTTAGGCGGTTGATGGTTTTCAGCGGAGCAAGGACAGAGAGTAGGCTTTTGAAGATTAGGTATCAGTTCTTCATCTTCTTTGGTAGCTTCCACTCGTAGTTGCAGTAGTTTACAAGCGTAATCAAAGCTGTATTTGTTTGCACTCTATACTGCTGTTAGCTTACGCAGCAGTGCGACGTAGCGACTGACCTTTAGGAAGATAAGAAGGTAAAAGTTGTGTATTTCGCTACATTATCTACCGCCACTTGTCTGAAGATAAGAAGGTAAAAGTTGTGTATTCTGCTACATTATCTACCGCCACTTGTCTGCCATATCCACAATTAAAAAAAATGGCACTTACAAGCAAGTGTTTATGCGCCAGCTCCAGCTCCAGCACCTGGTCTACATTAATCGGTAGCCTCACGCCTCATGAATTTAATTTGCAAATCAGCGCACTACACGAATTTGCTTCGTTACTGTCCGGCTACTTCGGTAGCTTCCCTCAGCTGGGTCTGCGTCCGTAGTCACGTTCTTTACATATCAATGGTAGCTCACCGCACCGACACAATGGGCGGGACTACCTACAATATGACCATAGCCAGCTCCGGACACGTGATGAAGATCATCGTGATAAAGTTATCGTGATGCTACCCAGCGCCTATCCAAAGCTACGCAGTCGCCCAACTACGTTGTCGCTCAGTACTGTACTGATCGTTGTATCTGGACTCAACCTCTTCAGCATTTTCTTTGTCCTGGACGAGTCAAAAAAGCCACCTTCCGCCGCATACATGTCCTACCTGGACCTAACGGTGCTGTTTCAATGAATGTAAGCTATGAGTACATTGGGAAGTGCAGGAATTTGGTCGAAAGGCAACCGGTTTAGTAGCCAGAAAGGCAGGAAAATGAAATCGTGAGTAGTGCCGTGTAGCTCGTGATTGTAGGGTACAGCAATGACATTCGCGAGTTTGTGTAGTTGCAGGCCATTAAGCACGAAAAAGAGCAGATTCTATGTTTGACTGCAACCTGTTCCCACAAAGACTGGTGTTCATATTGTGATGATCGTGTGCACTACATCAACTGTATGTCATCCTCATTGGTATGGAGGTTCCATGTCTAAATCCATAACTATATGCTTAGAAAGAACTTTGAAAGCATTTCAGTGCATCATTTTAGTGGCCATTTCCAAATTGGCGGCACTCCAAGGCTTTCACCATGATAAACTAACTATACGCACATCGCATCATTGACTAACTGTCACGTATTTTCGCCATCGTCGCTGAGTCCAAAGCGAGTCAATAGCGTTTTGCAGCATTACTCGCAGCTTATGCGCCAACCGTCAACAAAGCCCTGATTCTACAGCAAAAGTACAAGAAGGAACTGCAGCGATCGATGCTGTTCAGAGCCGATACGATAGACGACGCACTGATGTCTGGTGGAACGACAGACGCTGTCCCTTGTTTGTCGTCGGATGATGTGGCGGCAGCGCTTCGAGAGCAACTTGCTCGCAATGGTGGTGTCTATGCGCTCTTACGTACCGGGTGACGGCCACAGGATGAGTGTAAAAGCTACATCGAAACTGAAGAAGGAGATGGACAAAGCAGCGCAGTGATGGAGACATTTCTGTGTGCAAAGCTGTTGAAAGACCAGCCCATTCCACACGAGCTATTGGTTGAAGCGTATGGGTTGGTGTTTTGCTACCATGTACAAATTGGGATTCTTGTTTTCGGGCAAGATTGGAACAGGTTTTAGCTTCGGAGCTTAATATTGCGGTAGGGCCTATTGGTCGAGCGGCTAACGCTGCAACAATCGTTGGGCGTGGTGGTGGTGCACCAAATTATTTGTACAGCCATAGCAAGGGATTCTACGGTGGCCTTGGTCTTAGTGGCGGTGTCATTTGCACGCGCAAGTCGCTAAACGCGAGGTGCTATGGCCCTAATGTAACGGTGCGGCAGATTTTAGGTGGAGAAGTAGCGTGTTCGTTAGCTTTGCCGCTTTGGAAAGGCTGGATAAGGCGCCTGGTATCCAGCGTGAGTACGTAAACGGTTTTCCCGTTCTGGCACACACGTATACTCTGAGATGACATGTGGATTCATGTAGCCATATTTACTCGTCCGGGACAACCCGCATGCTTGTGCAAACTGCGGAGATTTGCTGATCGACAGTGTTAGCGTGCACTCTGGAAGGCTTAACACGAGCCAAGTCAAATATGTGTGATTACGGCTAGCAATGTTGTTCGTTTCTATGGTAAAGCTGTCTTGATGTGCCCGCTTGCGCGTCGAAGCTCGTTATAAAGCAAGCTTCAGTACATACGCTTCTCTTTGTAATGCAGTTTCATGTCTCGCTTTGCATTCTTCGCAGCTACAAACTGATGAAATCAATAGTATCGCGTTATAAATGTCATTAAGTTGCACGTCAAGGCTGCAAAGTGGATTGCTTCTGCCTGTAGTTTTAACTTGCAGCTAGTGCCACAGACTTTTATCAACCCATTCTCATCTAACTCAACTTTGTTTTCAGACACAGTTGTATTGCGAACAGTCCATTGTCAATACTTTGTTCAGGTAATGCTAATTGTTCCATATACTCAACAACGCATTGTCTAGATTCTTTGTTCAGGTAATGCTAATTGTTCCATAGTACGTCAACAACGCTGACTACGAAAGCATTGAATAGCAAAACTGCGGAAGATTAGAACGTTGCAGTTATTGTTTCGTACAGAATGAGCATTTCTACTGCTCATGATGGCAAATGCAGGTCTGGAATTCGATTAATTGTCGGTTATTCGATGGCGCGAGGTGATCTTTGAGAACACATGATTTTACTTGACCTTAAAAATTAATGTTACAAATCTTGTTTGCTCCCTTTTCGATACAAATGCGAGGGATGCGGCAGTGACAAAAATGCCTATGATACTATTAATAGCTGTATGTACAAGTCATTTCTTATAAGCGACTGCCGTACGATCTCGCACGATTGTGGAAAGAATATAGACCTCATAAATCTACAACTGTTGGTATCAGACTTGGCATAAATTAAGCAAAACCCGTAATAACAAATAACGTCTTGATGACCCCACTGGCAAGCGATCTTAAACCTGTTGTAGTTGATATATCCCCAGCATTCTTATCCGAATAATATACGTTTCTAGAGCTACCAGACTCTGGCGTCTTGCTACAAGTCCGAATAAGCGACGGCCGAAAGAGACCATCAAGTTGTCTTTCTCATCCATTGCTGCTGCTCGTGGAAGAGTCTTGCAATCGAGTCAATTGACACAGAATGACACAGCATCCAATTACAGCAGATGTTACCCCTCTCGTTTCGTTCAAGCATAAGCCAGCAGTGAATGCTGATGCCCCTGGACTTACGTGTCTGGGCGATCACGTAACGACGACGTTTGTGGCGGAGACGGCAATGCCTACAGACAGCGGTATATTCCGCGTGCGCGCCTATCGCTCTGTAGGCTCGTTGCGTGAATGTGAACCCATTGCGATGATCTCGGGCGATGTGCACGGTAAACGTAACGTGTCTGTGCGCGTTCACGACCAGTGTTTTACATCTGAAGTTTTTGGTTCGCTCAAGTGCGATTGCAAGGAACAGCTGGAATATGCAAAGACGTACATTAAGCAACACAGTGGCGTTATTATCTACATGCCGCAGGAAGGACGGGGCATTGGCCTTGCTAACAAGATCATGGCGTACTCTATGCAGGAGCGTGGGCTTGATACGGTGGATGCTAACCGCGTGTTGGGCTTTAAGGACGATTACCGCTCGTATGAGCCTGTGCCGTCTATTTTGAAGGATTTGGGCATTCAGTCGGTTCGTTTATTGACCAACAATCCACGCAAAATCAGGTTGCTGAGTCAACTCGGCATCACAGTCGAGGGACGACAGCCTGTGGTGATCAAGGGTGGAGAGTTTAGTCAAGGTTACTTGACGACGAAGGCGGATCGTATGTCGCACTTGCTGCCTGGTTCTTCAAGTGCAGATGGCAGCTGTGAAGACTCGTTTACGGACGAGAGTCAGGATGAAGAAGAGCTGCAAATGGATCCCCCGGAAAGTGTTGCTGCCTTATCACCGACGGCATTATCGTCCTTATTCTCTAGAAGCTATTAACCATCCGTCAGCTACGAAAGATTGCATGTATTAGCATACTGACTTGGCCAGCAAGGTTAGTTTTGGGAAAGAAGGATGGATCTACGACGGGGAACTTCGATAATCTTCGCGTGGAGCGCTTTCACACTGGTCTCCATAGACCAATTGTTCCAGTCTAGTTGTCAGCATAGGCCGCTGGCCAGCTTTTAGGTTCAAGATTGAACAACACAGATACATGAAGGGACGATTTGATGCGAACCGAGAATGGCGACAGAGAAGCTGTAGATTATTTAGCACGCCTATCAGCAGCGCTTGATTCAAGCCCCATCATTATACAAAACACGAATAAACACCCATTTGATGATACTCATACCGGTATATGTGCAGTTATTGAATACACACATTATATTCGATCTCACAACAGCCATATCCGCCAATCACATTTCTCCACGGCGTTTTCTCCCTAGAAATTTATTTTAAGGCGACGAGACAAGAGCTTTGGACGTAGGTGGTGGTATAACGTGTGTGGGGCAATTATATTATTTATCGTCGGGTGATTATCTCGTAAAGTAAAGAACCTTTGTAAAGACTGATAACACTAGAGTATTTGGTATCATCGAGAACCCATTTGTAGCCGCAGTAATTAAGACAAAATGCTGGACGATAATCGCAAGATCGGCACTTTACTGCTAGGTCTGGGCTTTGCATTTTTGCTGCTTGGTGTGCTCATGATCTTTGATGCTGCAATGCTGGCACTTGGTGATGTGCTGTTTTTGAGTGGTGTGGCGCTCACCATTGGTCTTTCACGGACAGTACGTTTTTTCACGCGGAAGGAGCGGTGGCGTGGTATCGTGTGCTTCTTGGGCGGCATTCTATTGGTCATGCTGCGTTACCCTGTGATTGGCATGATTATTCAAAGCTTTGGCTTTTTGAATTTGTTTGGGTCGTTCTTCCCTGTGGCTGTGGCTTTCTTGCGTCAGACGCCTGTGATTGGGATGGTGCTGAATCTACCAGTCATCAGTGAGATGGTTGATCGACTTGCAGGAGCGCAAAAGCGCGGATACCAGGTGTGATGGTGGTATACGGAATGATAACAAAAGGAGATGCAGTACTAGAAATGACCAAAGTGATAGTGTTGATGTGCGTGGTATTGTTGGTGATAATGGAATGGCTCAATTGCACAGACGTATCTCCGTAGATACAACCATGCAAAATCTACATTAAAAGCTGCTACACGATTGCATTGTGAACGTGATGAGAACTTTGTATTCATGTTTAGGCTCGATACGTTCGTTATCCACGTATAACACGCACGATAATATGAGTAAAAGATGATTATCATGGCTCTTTTGATCTCTAAAGACCCAAATTTTGGGTATTTGGGCTAAAAAACGCTGTTTATTACTCCATCGCAATCGGTGTTTGATTGGATTAGAAATAAATAAATGTCAGCTTTTGCTTGATTTCAACCAGTCTTGTACTATCATTTTTTGCTTTTCCACCAATCGTATCATTCCATTTGTTTTGTTTTCCCACCAATCATACTGTGATAAGCTCTTTATTCATCATATCAAACGTCGATCATGCCCGCAAGCTTTTTCAGCTGCTTACGTGCCCGCGTAATTGCCATTGACTCGCTTCTGTGCGTAGGTCTGGATCCACATGTAGCAGAACTGAATGAACCAACTGCTGCTGCCGCACAAGCTTTCTGCACACGTATTATTGAGCAAACACACCACGTCACAGCCGCCTATAAGCCCAACTCGGCGTTCTTCGAAGCCTTTGGTGCTGAGGGCATCACAGCGCTTCACGCTGTCATCAAGTCGATTCCTGATGGAATTCCGGTGGTGCTGGATGCTAAACGAGGTGACATTAGCACCACAGCGGCTGCTTATGCTGCTTCGACCTTCGACACGCTGGAGGCACATGCCATTACGTTGGCTCCGTACATGGGCCAGGACTCTATTGATCCATTTGTGCGCGGTCATCCCGAGCGTGGATGCTTTGTGCTGTGTAAGACGTCAAATTCCAGTGCCAACGATTTTCAGACGCTGTCTATTGGATCTCGCGCGCTATATGAGGAAGTAGCGGCTAAGTGCGAGCAGTGGAACTTGGAGGATAACGTTGGCCTCGTTGTGGGAGCTACAGACATTGAGGCACTTTGTCGTGTGCGTGCGGTGACGCCCAAGTTATGGATTTTGGCACCCGGAATCGGCGCTCAGGGTGGCAACCTGAAGGAGGCAGTGACTGCTGGTCTGTCTGCGGATGGATTTGGTCTGCTAGTACCCGTCTCACGCGGTATTTCTAAGGCTGCTGATCCCAAGGAAGCTGCTGAATCTCTGCGAGACGCCATCAACGCTGTTCGCAGGACCAAAGTGGTTGCTGCCACGGCGACTGGAACCACCTCGAGCGCAAACGAATTCATTAAGTTGGCATTGTCATTTGGTGTGCTTAAATTCGGCGACTTCAAATTAAAGTCAGGACGCCAAAGCCCATATTTCTTTAACGCCGGTTTGTTTCATACGGGCCGCGCACTCAGCCAGCTTGGCAAGTTTTACGCACAGGCTATTCACGTACGTAGAATGGATGAGTTGGAAATCATGGCTGCTACAAATGTTGATGTGTGTTTCTCTGGGTGCTGCTTGTGATATCAGGACAGTGGCGTGGAATTTGATGTGCTATTTGGCCCTGCTTACAAGGGTATTACTCTTGTTGCCGCTGTAGCCATTGCCTATGCTGACCTGTACGACGTTGATATTCCCTTTGCGTACAACCGTAAGGAGGCTAAGGATCATGGTGAAGGCGGCGTACTTGTTGGTGCAGACATGACTGGAAAGAAGTGCGTGTTGTGCGATGCTTAAAATATCTTTAAAGGCGTCTAACTTGCTTGTTGTGCATCGTACAGAGTGCTGATCATCGACGACGTGATTACGGCCGGTACTGCTATTCGTGAGGCATTTGAGATTGTGAAAAATACAAATGCACAGGTCTCAGGTATTTGTATCTCGCTGGATCGTCAGGAAAAGGTCTCAGTGGAAGATACACGTTCGGCCATTGATCAGGTCAAGGAGAGTTTTTGCATTCCTGTTGTGAGCATTGCGACATTGGACAATCTTGTGAGCTTTCTTGAGACCGTGGATCCAATGACGGATGTCAATGCTTCATACTTACCGGTGATTCGCGCTTATCGTGCTGACTACGGTGTGTCTCAATAGTAGATAGTGTTGAAATGATAGTTACCAAGATGACCATCAAAGTTGCTCAACACCTTTGCTTTTACTATAACAACGAATCATATGCTTTCGCTGTTGTGTTTTCATCCAATCAAATGGTTGTATAAAGCCGCACCAATTGAGCGGTTCAAACTCATTTGCATATCAAGAGAGCTCTGGTCTCAATATGTTTCAACGTCATGTAATGACGAGCATTAACGCCATGGAACGTGTGGCAAGCAACCGTCAGATCCGCCGTAAGACACGTCATCCAGCATATTTACGTGTATTGAAGCGCCAGCCTCAGGCTGAAATCATTGTTCCACCGCTCAAGTATGAGCCTACGTATGTACCAAAGAAGGTGAGTTTTAATGGCTGGTCACCGGCTCCGGAGACGCCATTGCCAGGTTTGCCATTTCATGTCAAGCGCACAGCTGTGGGACTACAGCTGCCAGTGTACAGAGACTTTAGAAATGGTCGTACACGAGTGCTGACCATCCTGCGGCGCTTCAAAGGTGACGAGCAGGAGCTGCGTGATGAGATGTCCAAGGTATGCAAGGGCAAGGAGGTGATTGTGCGTCCTGGTCGCTTGGAGGTTGTGGGCGATTATGCGAATGATATTCGCAAGTGGCTCGTGGGTCTCGGCTTTTAGAGAGACAGAGTGAGAAGAAGACGAAGAAGAAAAATATTTACTTAAGAGTTCTTCAACGATGTTTCATTTCATTAGCAGGAAGTCGCTTTGTTCGTAGCAGAACATGGGTATGTGTCGATACCATAAACATACTGTTCTTTGAATTTGTTGTGTGTTTTTTTGCTGTTTGAAGGTTGTTACAGGGAATGCATGCCATAAACGTCGGCGACGACGTTGTTGAGTATGTCGGAGACACTGACGTCGGAACACGCTACAAGGATCAGGTCTTTCTCGATCGGCAAGAAGTATGGAAACGTTGCACGGTTCATGGAAATGTTGCAAAGCGTAGCAACGGTAATACGAGCAGCTTCAGGCTTTGTAGTGACAACAACACACAAGAAATTAGACTTATACGAAGGCAACGAGAAAGTTGGGTTGACTGCACGTACCCTTCCAATGCAGGAGACGAGCGACCCTGCTAGTCGTCGCATGCACGTTGGGTGTTGTGCCATTCGTAGCTTGGTAGCATCGTCATAGTCTGACAAACGGAAAAGCACTTCAAGCGCGGCATCACGCATCTCATAATCCAATTGGCTTGTGACATCGTCAAATGCTTCTGCAACATGTGTCGACGATGTTGTGTGACGAACGCCTTCTGGGCTCACATATACCACGCCCATGCCGATACCTGATGGCAGTCCATCATTCTCCCATGGCGCCGGCCACCTACTGTTGTCATCACCGTCAGTCTCGTCGTCTTCATCGTCGGAGTCTTCCGCATCCATGTCATAGTCTGTAGTTGTCGAGAAGTCATGTGCTTGTTGCTGCTGCCTTTTGTGCTTTGAACTGCGGGAAAGGAATTCTTGTCGCGAGCACCCTAGCAACGCTACCATATAATTAAGCAAAGCAGGATCTTGGAGAGATTGACTTGACGAAAGATACTTCTTGATAGCTACATCGCGGCACACGTTAGTAAGCAATTCGCAGGCGCGAAGCACCACTGACCGACGTTGCTGCTTGAGATCACGACCGACCAGAATGCGGCGTAGCTCACGTAGCAGATATTCAAGCGGCAGTACACGTTCTTTCTTCCAGAGCTGCGAGCTCAATTGATATTGCTGGTGCCAAACCTCAAGCACAGCAGGAGGATGAAGTGCCAGAAAATCAATACGCTTCGATATGGCGCATAACGTGTCTAGCACATGGTCACCGATCTCGACGGCAGCTCGAGATCGTTTACCACGGCCATCACGCGCATCGCTACTATTTATGTAGCGTAGAGCCATAATAAGGAACACGCACAGCTCATCATGCGCAGCAATTGGCTTCTCATTCGCGCCGACAATAGCAAGGTTGCGCAGAATGTTCATCACCAATAGAGCCGTCGAGTCCAGTAATTCACGTTCACCATCATTTACTCTCAAGTTCAGCAACCTTGTGCGCGTCACTTGTTGTTGCTCCATCTCGCTCTCATCCGGCAGCAGCTTGCAAACCACTAATTGTCGATACAGCGCATCTAGTAATCCAGGAACATTATCCACCAACAACTCGTTCTCATTTGCTGTAGCATTGGCATTCGCCGTCGCAGTTGACGACTCTGCAGATTGCTGATGCGGTGCAACTGTTCCACCCGACGCGTCTCCATACGACAAAACTGTGAGTAAATTGAGCGCTGACATGACTTGTTCTGGAATACCCGAGTCCAATGCGAGTACAATGTTGTGCAGAGTTCCAAGGTGCGTCTGAAGCTCTCTTTGTGCCTTAAACCTTTTATTAACTCGCGGCAACGGCGTTCCACCCATACCTCCCTGTACATCTTGCAATTCTTGTACGGTTGCTAAAGGTGCGTCTATTTCTCCAGCATTTTCTTGAGCTCGACGTTTATTCGGTAAGACACTCATGGTCGCCTCATGCGTTGGGAGATCTCGTCCAAAGAGTTGTTTTTCCTCAAAAGCACGCAAAAATCGGTCATAATATGCTGCCAACTGATACGGCATGAGTCCTTTAATATTTACACCACTTGGTCCGAGTATTTCTGCCCATTTTTGACGTTGAGAAACAATCCGAGAACCTCCACGTGCGACTACTTCTTCGTACAATTGAATCCAATGAATCGCAGTTCCAGAGGGACTTTTCGGCAAATTTTGAACCATAGAAACCTCGTGACGACTTTCCATAAACTCAATCCAGTCTCGAAGAATGCTTTCACGGCCTGGATCCCCTCGACAACTGAGTTGAAGCGCCAAGAGCGCCTCCTTTGACGCCATGTTGAGACTTTGGACACGGGCACTAATCAAATAAAAGCATTTGATTTAATGAAATTCATGCAATCATATCATTGGTTAAAAAACTTCCCCCTTTTCAAGTTGAAGAGCTCTTTGAAGGACAATGTGCCTTTTCCCAGTAGTTCATTCATTGCCCCAATTCATTGAAAAGGGTCACGAAGACGCAAATAATGAGCGAGTTTAGTGACGTGGCAGCATTATTTGGATCGAAACACTCGGCGCGTATTTTGTTACAGCATCGAAGTAGTGTTGGGAGTGTCGATGGTGACTCGGAAGTTCGATCTTTACCTGAAATTGAAGTGAATCTTTATAAACAGCACAAGAAGGAACAGTCGAGTGTAACACATACAGCTGAGGCTACGACGACGACACTTGATAATCAATCCAAGTCAATGATGACTGCTCCATTAAGTCTTGAAGAAGTTCAACAAGAACTTGAGAAACTTGAGAAAACACCCGTGCCGACGACAGAAGAGATTAATGATATTTTGGCGCAAGAGTCAAATGAAGAGTCCGCGAGCAGTGATTCCGATGATAGTGGTAGTAGTGATTCATTGTCTAGTGATGATAGAGAAATTGTGATTATGAAAGTACTGATCGTCGGTAATGCTCGCTGTGGAAAGACTTGCACGATTCAACGATTTACTCAAGATCATTTTAATGAGGAGTATGTGAGTACAATTGGAGCAGACTTTGAAGAGAAACTGATTGAGTACGATGACCAACTTAGCATTAGCTTGCAGCTTTGGGATATTGCTGGACAAGATCGTTTTGCCAAGTTTACACGAGGATATTTTCGTGAAGCGAAAGGAGCGGTGATCGTCTGTGATATCACGAGAGCTAATACGTTTGATGCAGTGGTGAATTGGAAAAAAGAGATTGATACATGCTGTAAAGAGCTAAACAAAGGTGCAGAGATACCTGTTGTCATGGTCGCCAATAAGAGCGATCTATTGGTCGACCCCATGGACGCGTTAGATCTTGGCGTGAATATGCAAAAGTGCGTAGAAAAGAACAACATTGTGGAGTGGTTCCGTGCGTCAGCGAAGAGCGGCGAACACATTGATGATGCATTTCGGTGTCTTATCGACCGTATGGTGGAGAAGTATCGCGTGGAGAAGGAAGAGAGCAAGAAAATCAAGACTGATGTCATTGTAAAGGAGGAGAAACCGAGCGCACCCGAGACCATCCGTCTGTCCCAGACGCCACGACGACACAGAGCTGTTAAGCATCATGGCGGTGGCTGTGACTGCAATTAGAGACGACTACGACCGTTTATTCTTCATGGTATATCGTCTCTATTCCATGCAACAAAGTCAAAGCGTTTATTAGTACTGCCGTTGCTCCACCAAGATGCATCCCATCTCTTTTTCTCCCATCGCATTATCAGGCAAAACCATCAGATGCGTTCACATTGCAAGTATTCGGCACAATGTCAAATTTCTTTTGTTTCTTTCAGTACATTCAATGACACACATTCACGGTCGCGGGCGTTTGCGACGCACCTCAGCAGCTAATGTCGCCGTACTATGCAAAATTTCCTTGCCTTCGGACGGGCGCTCAATGAAGTATGGATCCAGATCCACAGCAAAGCGTCGAATCTTTTGAGACGCCTCGTCGATCTTTTCGTCTGTCGTAAGCGCAAATATTTCAATAAGCAGTGCTTCAACTCGAAGATTCTCCAAGTCCACAAGGCGGTATTCGTCTTTTTCATCTTCATTCTTCAACTTAACACATGATAATGCACCAAAGCAAGTTGAGGTAGTAAGAATCACTTAACTAATGCACTTCTCTGCATATCGTCACGTACCGCCTTCATTCTTGTAGCTTCAATGGTAATGCCATTAGAGAATTGCCATCTCGTTCCTAAACGCATGTACCTGTAACTATGTCTATCATCATCATCTCATCAATAGAAGCATGTAAGCAGCATTAGATTCTCCAACCGTAGATAGTCAAATGAAAACACCAATGTATCTACCGAAAGCCGAGCGTGCCCAGAAACGAGCGTACATTCTGTCCGACCGACACAGCAATCTGACTGCGGAACGGAACAGCAACGAGTGCACTGCCTACATGATCTGACATTTTCTTGCGTTCCCAACGTCCAATGTACCTCAGCTCCCTGTCACCATTCACACCAAAAATACCCCATCAATACATTACCTTCCGACTGCAACAACTACACTGCACTGCAGACCACACCACTTCTGTCCTCCATCTGATGGCATCTCAACTGCGACGCCTTGAAAAGTCGTTGATCCTGAAAATACATGACGAGCACGAACCTCGTAATGAGGCACGCCTTGAATGTATTGTGGACACTTATCATCAAAATTATAGACGTATTCCTTGTATGCAATGTCTTCCTGCAATAGAAGAAAAAGACCAAAACCACGCAACAATCCGTGCGCATCAGAAGATAAGACGTTACAATCATACAACACTATATGATACCTTGTGTTGTGTGCTTACCTTGACTACGCTCTCGTCACAAAGACCACCAAGGCGCTCGACGAATGAAGGAAAATGTTTAAAGTTCTAATGTCCATTGTATCACAAGTACAACGATAACAGCCACACAAATTCATTACCATACTTTCCATATCTCCCGCACCACAGTATCACATTATATATCATTCAAACACACCACTTCGCCCTGTAGAACGCACTCAAAGCACTTGCCTGCCCGCGCCATGTTTATCCAAGAGGATAAAAATCGTAATTTTGGTTTTTAGAAATATCAAAAATAATTATAGAAAACCAAGAATTAAATAAAAAATTATCTCATTGGCTGAAAAGTACCGGCTTGTAAGCCTTCTATTGTCTTGAGACGTTACTTAGACTTGAGACCTTATCTCGTTCGTAGAAAATGGTGTGGAATCGCTTGAAATTTCCCAATATGGCAATCACATTCATGGGCAAGAACGCACGTACAAGATTGCGTGATAATCAATACGTTTTTCGTGTTGAACCGCAATACACGAAGCATGAGATCAAGGAATACTTGACGAAAGTCTATGATTTACCAGTGGCGAAAGTGAATACGATGAATTACGAAGGTGTGTATTTCTACAGTCTAGTTATGTGCTATATGATAGGAGGAGTATTGGATGTTTTTAACGAGTGGTTATTACTATTACTATTGATGATGTTTGTGCAATAGGTAAATTCAAACGGGCATTTCGTGGTCGATACGTGTACAAGGAGAAGGACTGGAAGAAGGCTATTGTGACCCTCAAGGTGTAACCCCCCCCCCATCTGGCGCTTGGATATACGACTAAAAGCAGCGAGCTGTAGAGTTTCATGGCTCAAGAGATAGTAGATAAACAAATTATCTCTTGGTGATTGCAGAATGAAGTATCGGTGATCAGTGCAGTCTCGACACTCTTTCAACTCATACTCTGTTTTGAGATGTCCTGTAAACTGTAAGATTAACACAAGTCATAGACGCAATGAACGTGCATACCTGTGCGGCTACTTTACCGATCAAATGTAATGCCGGTGTACTAGTTGTACTGTGATTTTCTTAAGAAATTACGCTCAATTACGCAAAACCTATGGGACACCAAAAGCAGCGTCAGCTCCTGACAGCCTTAGGCATGTAGTGTCGACTACAACGACCAGCTGTGGTGAACATGCAATAGCACATGCCAAGGCTGTGATACCTCATCACTAGTCAGCACACGACAACTGCAAACCTTCGGCATATCGCGTATTTCTTAATCTTGCTGGCTAACATCCTCAAAGTTGTCCACAAGGTCTGGAACGTCATCATCATCGTCGTCAGCGGCAGCAGCCGACGCGGCCTTGGCGGCCTTTTTGGGCAGCGGTGTACGACTCGGCAATCTGCTTTAGGTTAGCGAGATTGTCCGGACCCAATTGGTTGATAATGCCCGGCAGCAGCTCCTGCAGTGACTTGATCTGGTTGAAACCGCTCACGGCAAAGGTGTTGGATGCAATCGAGGCTTGCACCTTAGGTGCCTGAAAGTGGATAACCTGTCCATCGGCTTTGAATAGGTTCACCTCCTCAACACCAGGAATTGGAGTTACGCCAAGCTTTTTCAGAGTTGTACCCAATTTCTTGTCATCAGTTGTAGCTGTCTTGTGAGCGGCTTTGCGTTTTCGGCGTACCGTACCCTTGCCGCCCGTACGGACGTCCCCAAACTTGGCCGCAAGGCGTTCACGGGCAAGAGTGATAGTATCAGCCATATTTCTATAGCATCATAACAATCAATCATTAATGTTAAAACAACACTACAAAACATTGACATGAGCTCTCTATTGATTGATACATGGATTGATGATAAAGGTATCGCACAAGCTTTTTTATAGCAACGACAGTCATTGGAGAAGCCAAAAACTACATGCTTTACCCTTCTTCATCTTATATTGTAACAAATTTAATTGCTAACCATGCTAGTTAATTAACGCCTAAACGCACCTTTGTAGAAGAAGACTAGAGTAAGTTAGTAGACCAGGCAAAAGTGATGATAGGAGTGAAGACTCCCAGTGTTTCAAAGGTGGTGTTGTAGCTAATTCGGAGGATAAATCAGGGTGAAAGACGTATACACTTAGGTTTTGTAGGTAACGAGAGGTCGATATTCAACCCCTTTTAACGTGTTCTACCCACGCGTTCTCAACCAATGAATGAATATAAGACATGAGGTTGGTAGAAAATGACTTGTGTTTAAGCCAATTACAATGCTCAATTCTTAATCTTGTCAGAATTGATCAGCATTTGCATATCGAGTTTTGCAAACAAGCATGAATCAAAATGACTTCCGCCAGATGCTCGCGACTCGCGAGTCATCACATAGCGACAACCACAGCTATAGAGGCAAACGGAACTTGAAAGAGAAAGATTTTGCCGAAATCAAGAAGCTACTGGGAAAAAAATCCAAGAAAAAGGGCAAGAAACCAAAGAATGCAGCACCTTTCAATGAAGTTGAAATGGAACAGCGTTCACCTAAGAATTTGTATCGAGATCGAGCAGCCGAGCGACGGAGAGGAATTGCAGGCGATATGGGAGATGCAGAAGAATACAAACATTTAGATACAGAGCAGAGCAAATTGCTCGGTGGAGACATGGATCACACACATCTAGTCAAGGGACTAGATTACGCTCTTTTGGCTCAGTTGAAACGCGAAAAGAAGAAGTTGCTAAGTGAAAAGAAGAAGCTGCTGAGTGAAAAGCAGAATGAGAAAGACAGTGGAGTTCTTGGTGTGGATACGACCAAGTTACGTGAGAATAGACTTACGTTCAAGTCGCGGATGGGGAGACTGGTGTATTTTTACGCATGTCAGAGCAGACCGGAGACTATAACGTCGGTCAAGTCAGAGCTGTTTTTGCCTGGTAGAATGTACTACGCATTTAATTTATCGACGACCGAGATGGAGAGTGTTCCTGTGAGTGTGCAACGGAGTAGAGAGGACTGCTTGGAGCCGATTGATGTGGTGAGTGGAATAGTTGACGAATCGCTGATTGAGCGAGTAAAGGAGTTGATGACCACGAAGAAGAACAGTAAGAAGGTGCGAAAGAAAACGACTATTGGTTGTTGTAAAGATGATGGAGGGGAGGGGAGTGTGGATGCTAGTCGAGTGCTGGATGTTAGAGAGGTACCGACGGTTCAAGTCGAAACTGGTGCTGCTGTTGATGACGATGAAGATATCTTTCCCGACGTGGGCGAGTATCTTCCGATCGACCAGCGTTTGGCTGATAAAGATACTGACTTATCGAACAAGGATATTGTAAAGAAGACTGGATACTTTTCAAACTTGAGTGCTTCCATCACCGAAATGGAGGAAGTAGTTCGAAAAAAAGAGGAGGATGCAGAGCGTGCTTGGAAGGAGACATTGCAGAAAGTGGTAAAGACGCAGATAACGATCGACCATGTGAAAAAGAGAAAAGCAAGGGAGTTAAAGATGACTGGCGAGGCGGACGACTACGCAGAGTACCAGGGCAGTAGTGCGCTGGCAGACAGTGACGACGAAGACGACGAGGAAACTACAAGACGTCGCAAGGCAGCAGGACTTACTCGCCTCAAAAGCGACTATGATTTGAATGAAAAGGGCCGTCGGAAAAAGAAAAAACAAACGAGCAGGCTTGCGAATGACCTTGAGAAGATTAACCAGGTAAGAAAGCTGCTTGTAATGTTGATGATGAAGTGGATTGTAACAATGACTTTTGTCATGAGCAGATCATGGCGGACAAATCGAAACCTGAAGTTTGATTATAAAGTTGATGCCGACAGCTTGATTGTTCTACGAGACTTACTGCCGATGTATAGTACGTTGTGAATGTCACAGTGGGCAGCAAACCATTGCAATGCCTTTCTGAGTCGTATAATATCAGCAGTCACGACTGAATTGGCGTCACAGCTTCGATTGGTCATTGAGATCGTAACAACCACCCCAATTTATATGATGTAACGGAGTTTCGAGAACAACGTAACGATAAAACGAGAGAGAGATTCAGAGTGTCTATGGACAATCAAGTACAAGATTGCTGAGACTTCTGCAGTCATATCAAGTACGCAAAGATTGCTGTCCGTAACGTCTCGTCAGGGCCCGCCACGAGTGGAACCGCGGACTTACTTGATGCTTGAGTTAAGATCTCAAGACACGCCTGCAATGTAGCTCCTTTTACTGCCGCTCCCCTGGAAATTCTCGCCTGGCAACTAAGGCGACGTTGCACATTATGTAATCTGTAACGTGGTTACACAAAGGTGTCTATTGGACATATACACCTAGCACACCATTGTGGTGTGGTAAAGTGGTAGATTGATGCGACCATACCTAAGATACGGGTAGAAAGCCATAAATAGTGACCATACATGTTTGCATGTTAATAGGCTACAGAGCCAGATAAATAGTGCTAGAAGGTAAACCATAATTAATCAGTTCCAACCTGCTCATAATACACACGTGCTTAAGCGATCTTTGATACTGGTCGCTTGGAGACGTGGAGTTGCAACCAAAAGATACAAGCTTGTTAAGCTAGCCTTTGGAGGTTAAAAGCCCTAAGACATACAGCTCTTGGAGCTTGTCTTCCTCTGCACTTAGTCCATAAGTAGCTTGGCTACAGTAGCTCTGCTACATAATCAAAGTGCCCAATTTGCGTTAGTCGTCTCGAGGGTGCCGACGTGATATCCTAGATACCGTGTCGTCTCGTTGGAACCAACGATGCAGTCCAGCATCGTGGTTATGGATGACCGCCGTGTTAAGAATCGGAGTTGATTCGTATCGGGCTGCACTCAGAACTCCGAGAGCTGCCAAATTAAATGACCAAATCCATGACTGTCCCGAGCTGACGTGCGTGTGACGCATGAGCAGAGCGGAGTCATCAACGAAGGACAAGAATTTGTGAATAGTGTCCGGCTGACCAGGTATCGGAAGACCGTCGAGCCTAGCACTTTGACGGACAGCTAGACCTAAGACCTCTGTTGTGAGGAGGAATAAAAGAGGAGCTAACGAGCAGCCCTGTCGAATCCCGGATTTGATGAGCATATGCGCAGATAGGTCCCCATTCACTTATGAGCGTGCCGTTATTCCCAGATGTAATATATTCACTAATGAACAAATTGAGCCAAGAATCCAATTTGACGAAGCGTTCCCAGCAAAAAAGCTTGGGTTACGGTATCGTAAGCCTTCTTGAAGTCTAGATGGAGTCTGTGTCTTCTGTGTCGTTCCATGCTGCCGTTCTGAGCTGGGCAAGCATCATTACGACGGCCTTTTGCCTCTGACGCCCCCGAATAAAAACTTGTTGTCGATCCCAATCACATGTGGAAGAAAAGCTGCATGCGCGTGGCGACCGCCTTCGCAAATAACTTGTACAAAGCTTGCCACAATGAATGGGACGGTAATCTAGCGCGTCATCCGAGTACCTTTTTTTCGAAGAGGAATAATACGAGCTTCTTGAAAAAAAGGAAGAGGGTCCGCCCTTTCATGATGTTGGCGACCGCCGCGAGAGCACATCCAATCGCATCTTTGTTGGCACTCTTGACTCCACTGTGTGAGAAGAAGAACCTGTAGCAGTTGCGCTTGCCAGGACAAGAAAAGAATGAGCATGACTAAATTGTAGAAGTGTAAGTGGTAAAATGGCTACCTTGGAACGTAGAAAACCTTCTTATGATGAAGTTGTGTTCTAACAGTAAGCAAGACGTTTTGTACAAAAGCGCACCAAACAGACCATGGCTTTCACATGTTGTCAGCTGGCACCATGATGGACATCGTATTCTTGTAAAAGTCGTTGTTAAGGTTATCCTTCCCCGGCGCTTTGTGCCGGCTAATGACCGTGACCACTCTCTCGATACTTCCGTTTCATCGGTGGGTGGCATAAGCCGCGCGTTTTTTGGCCTCTTCACCCTGCATGCGTCCGGAAGCGTAACCGATTTGGAAAATACCGTGCCAGAGCCGCCTGAGAAACCAATCGATGCCTTGTCCCGAGGATAGTCCCCTACTTACTGCAAATTTGTCGGCTATGCTGGCCCACGGTGGGAATGGCCGCCCGTGTATCACCAGCATGATCGATACGGTGTGGTTTCGTTTCCGCTTTGATACCCGTTTACATAGCCTCTGTAACGTTTCCGCAGTCCGCTCCAGCCTATAACCTAGACGTATTACATGATGCATACGACGGTCCTCCCGCGCGTTCTCGACCCACTTCCTCCGGATTACCAGGCTGCACCTTCCTCGAGCTTGTTGCTTCCGTGTGTACCGCCAGCTTCGTTGTTTCGATTTCCTCGCAACGTGAGAAATGACTCATACACTGCGCTCAACGTGGTCATCCCATGTATGTGCAGACTCCCCCTGTTCAACCTGTGTACTGTGTAGAGCCGATAGAAGATCGGATACTATCCGATCCTGGTTGTCAGATCGAATTGGGTAAGTTATTTTGGGAGCACGCAAAGGCTGCGTCGACCGATCCCAAAAACGTAAATGCACAGTTCTTGTTGATGACCTGAATTTTCTAACGGTAGGGAGGGCCACACCCATTGAACCTGATTGTCGGCATGTAAAGCCGATTAATGCTGCTAGATGTCTTGCCTGACCAGAAAGTATACTGGTCCCGGGGATCGAACAGCGACTCATACAACGGATGCACCATTAGATCTACCGCATCCGCTAGCGCAAATTTTGCCACGACCCGGCCGAGCGCCGGACTTTACGGCCGGCATTGAGCCCTAGCACTGAGGCAATCAAGGTGGGGATATTGTACGCAATTGAATTCCTCGATGAGAAACGTTCGATTGCGTGATGCACCATAGCCAAGCCGCTGCTGGAAAAAACTCCATATTCGTTCGGAGGTTTGGCGCATAGACATTGACCAAGACCTCTCCCCGACTATTTTAAAATGCGATGAGCCGGCTATAGCAAGGATATCCAGCGCATAACTGACCACCCTTTGCCGACTCAGGTGTGATCAGAATGGCGACACCCCCCGCAGAGGCTGTCCTCACCCTTTCATGTGACATCGGCTCCGTTGTCGTTGCTTGCAGCATTGTCCTATAGCGACAGATCTAGAGCAGAAGCGTTGCCACCGCTTCCGCTCTAGATCTGCCGCTTGCTCGGACGTTGAGACATGTGTTTCCTGAATACATCACGACACAGGTCGATCGCACGTAGGCATTCCGCTCCAAGCCGACAATTATTTGAGACGTACTTGTTTACGAGATCTCCGGACATTTTGCGTAACAAAGCGCCTATCGGCGTTAGTCACTGCTGGATTACGTTGCTCCCGCTGGAAAAACCGAGTGCAGTACGTGCTGTTAGAGTCTTCAAACGCTCCCGATGGTTGATAGCCAGATCCGAGGTATGGACATCTTTATGCTGCCCTTAGCACCGAGGTTTCTCCGCTTCTTCCGCGGTGGTGAAGGCAGCAGAGGAAAAAGTGCCTGATACGGTACAGGCAAATTAAAAAGAGTCAGCCGTGAAAAGTGAACTATAAGAATTGTCTTGGATTAGCTGAAGGTGACGCGTTAATCGCGCAGATGGGGTTGGGACCTTGCTTTCAAATTTTCCCAACAGCGCCCGAATTCCGTTTCGAATATTATCGCGCACATCATATGACGACAGAAAATGCTACAACGCCAGGGGTCACATAGCCGTAGCTGTTCGTCATGAAACGAATCTTACCCTCATAGATGAGACCAGTTACCCGCGTTGTTCACATCCAACCGACTCCGTCCTCTCTGTCAACACAAACCGCGTCTCCAGCCATACTTTCGTGGCAGACTCTGTTGTATCACAGTAATATGAACATGATTTTTTCCGTAAACGATCCAAACGACAAGTGCTAGTCGATTGAGCCACGACGGAATCTGCTAAGCACTCGAGAAATTTCTCCGGGTATTGAAAGGATTAGAATTGCACTAGAAGCGCTGCGCTTCTTTCTTGACCGCTCCCATACATTCGGCCACGGGACCGTTGACTTAAAGACAAGGAACGCTTGCTTGGGGAGACCAACGTTCCCCGCAGGATACACTATTCCTCTTTTGGGCACGGAGGGTCAAACACGATCTATTGGCTTCGAAGTTGTCTGTCCGGGAGACCACCACACTGGCACGACACTATCTCGCCAGAACTCTAACCTTTGAAGTCGGCCTTGTGCTTGCCTGCAATGGTGTCAGATACCCGCAGACGCTTACGTCGTGCCCCAACCAGTTCGACTAGTTTGAGAATGGATCGCTGGCAAGTGACTTTGAAAAGCGTTAAGATAAGCATACTTTCATTGAGAAACAAAGGATTGAAAAAAAGATTGATAGGTTTCGGATGAACCTAGTTATTTGAATGTATTGGATTTTGGTCGCCAAGGCTCGACGAGGAAGTTATCGGCCAATCAGTTGTTAACTCGATTTCTCTTCGCAAGTATCTTTTTTTAGACTTTGCATCAATTTGTGTTCCTGATACTGCGTTTGAGAAGGAAAAGCTACGCAAAAACTATACTGGCCCCAATACCTAGTTGATAATAGCTAGCTAAATGAAGTTGACCCCAGCTGCACAAAGCTTAATTTTATAATAGGTTTTGCCCCGACCCAACACCAAACTTTGATCCAATCCATTGGCTCTGATTCATCTTGCGCTTCGCTAATTAAATGCAGATACGCAATATACATCTTGCTGTACATTTTTCCTCAATACGTTCTTTGCAACCGCAGACTCCAACTGCCGGCTGGACCTGTGCATAGCAAATGCAATGGCTGGGCTTGTGCATCAAAAAAACGGTCACAGCAGACTTCTAATTAACGACTGAGCTTCTTCACAGTAGGACATTGGGATGAATTATACATCACGAGCTCTCGTCCTCTCTGTCATGCTTTTCACCAATAGGCGTGCGTGCAGGGTCAGCTTGCTCCAGATCATCTCACGAATGCACTGAACCTAATACAGTTAGAACTTTCTTTTTCTGCGCATATGTAACACCAATGCCCAAAACCTTTGTATCTACCCTGAGGTCCTTTGCTTCGACCACTTTCATGCCCTCGAAGAACTGATTTACGTCGCGTGCCCTTTTACCTTCCACCAATAGATCATCTACGTAGACGTCTACCAATGTAGTCGTGAATTCATGACCTTTGCATATAGGAAACTGTTTATGTAATACTGTACGAAGCCAAGCTTGATAAGTGTAGCATGAAAAAGCTGTGCCCACAACCTTCTAGCTGTTTCATCCCATACATACTTTTAGGAGCCTCAGAACCACCTTGCTATTGTCATTAGAACCGAGAATCTTCATTTGTCCTTGTGAAGCTCCATGCCCTGTGGCACGTGAAGCGCAATTTCGTGATCTTCTCTTTATCTTCTTTACATAACAATCAACACTATAAGACTGATAATTTCGACAAGCAGCGAGCCTCGCCTTGTTGAATCTCTTAAGCGTCCCATCTGTGTGTCATTTTGTCTTAAGTCCCATTTGGAATGCAGTAGGTTCTGGCCAGAACTCCGTAGCGTTACCTCCGTTTCCATTTGTCTCAAGTGCGGAACGCATTGCGTCATGCCACTGCGCAACATGTTTACACTTTACTACTTCTTTGGATATCTTTGTAACTTCGATCAAGCTGACCATTGTGCGACTAGCACATGTTTAGCGCACATGTTTAGCGCACATGTTTCGCGTCGTCATGCGCATTTAATTTAAGCTTTCTCAGCTGGCAGTAGCATCGCTAAGTGTTAGTCTGTTCTTGACATTCGTTTTTTTGCCCGCCCCCGCTTATTAGACCGACAAAGTGTGCCGATACACTCCTTCCACTCCGTAGTCTACTCTCTTTCTTTGTCAACTTGGTCCAAGATAGGGTCTTTTCGTCATTTTTTCTTCAATTGATGGTTTCCTTCACTTTTGCTTTCATTATCTGCAGCGAGTAGGGCCGCATAAACTTCCTCGTTCATTTTCGGTGCAGCCTCTTTACTCTCATGTAGTACACTGTTTTCCTTTCAACCTCGAACACTTGTGGTTTATCACTAATGCGCTTCAAATAGCGGCGTCCATATTTGTAGCTCAGTGCAACTATCTTCTCTTCGAGTTTACAATACGATATCAGATTGTGCGTGAGTTCTTTTGTATATCGGATGTAACCATGTGCGTAATTTTGTGGTAGAGTGGGTTCTTAAAACTGCGTGATGTGACCCCAAGCCACTCACTGTGCTGGACTGCCGACTGTCGGAGGGGGTATCCCGATGCCGCGTATGGACCTTCTCTCACCTTGTGTATCCGTCGGCTGGCGGGTCGCACTCTTCGAAGGACATGGTGGAGATCAGATGTCAGCCTTGAAAGAGGTCAACCTTGGGGTGCCTCGAGTGGATATACTTCACTCGGTAGGCGATTAGGTGGCCACTTGGTCGACTAGGTCGAGGATAGGCCTATAACCAAATTCTCTAGGGGAGATTCTCAACCCTGGCCTTATCCTGCCTTTATATCTCAGGGGCGTCAACCGCCTGGCATTTACTTGCTCCCGGACCACTAGGGTAGGGAGGCCGCTTCCGATAGCGGGTCGATTGGGGGGTTGCTACTCAGACGAACCACAGGCCAAAATATAAATAAAAAAAAATTATCCTGGAACTCTATTCGCACTTGGGTCATACAACACGACTGTCTTCGACGGAGGCCAAAATATATCCCTTCCCGGAACAGGGGCATTGACGAAGGGTCAATTTTGACCTCCAGAAACCGGGGTTGAGAGTCTATCGACCGAAGAACCGAAGCCTATTGACGAGAAACCAAGGTTGACCTTCCAGGCACTGGGGTCGAGGGTCCATAGACCAAAGATCGAGATCTGCCTTGATAAAAGATCAAGGTCTACTAACAACAGACCATGGTTGACTTTGAAAGACCAAGGTCTACCAATGATAGACCAGGGTTAACCTTGAAGGACCGGCGTCCGCCTTGAGGAACCGCGGTTCATCGGGTTAACCGCGGTAAACTCCTTTGTATGGTGGCCAACTAGCAGACTTTGACCGTGAATTCTTCCCATCCAACGACTGTACTCCCTACCCTTTGGCGCCTTTTCTCTCTGTCCCTTCCTCAACGGTCGCTTCTCCTTGGCAAGCCCCTTTCTCTTTGGCCCACTGGTCCTCTGAATTCCCAGTTCTTATAACGCTTCACCACAGTTCTATTCAAAACTGCACGCAACGTGACTTGACCCACCTTCGTGGCCCTGATAATTTGTCCATCAGCAATGTTAAATTCGTCGAAGCTGTCGACAGCATCGGCAAGGATTCTGTCGTGCATAATTGAATGCCGACTGGCGCCAGTATCAAGAACACCAGTCTACTGAGACCGGTACCAAAATTAGGTGCAAATGACGTCTCTTTACACCGATTCTGTTCTTGCTCTCTCTCTTAGTATGGCCGAGATGGTTACACCCCGAGCGCCTTCATCCATCACCAGGCGTCAAAACAGCCGCCGCAACAGTAGCATCACGCGCACTAATCCGGCCGTAAGTGGATTTTCTGCCTCCACTCACCACGTATGCTCTTGCCTTCTGTTCAAAAGTACTAGCAAAGTCTGCCATCTCCCACGCTTGCTTGAGATAGTCCGTGCGGCGACGATCGAGCCGCATTTGCATGAATCGTTTCACCTCTGGTGCTTTACTTTTGTAAAAGTACTCAACAATAAATCGACCCGGAAAGCTGACCAAGCTTGCCACGGCGACCAGGTATTGGCACTAGTCAGTCCATGACCAATCGCTCTGCTTACAAGCCCGCATCAATCGTGTTGCTTGTTCCACAGTAACTTCTTTGTCGTAAGTATCTTGTTCATTAGATGCTCAACCGTAGGCGTTTTTTCTCCCAAATTCCTTTTATCTTGTCTGAATATCTCCGTGCAATACCTACGAGATACCAATTAAAGGTATGCAACTACTGCACCTCTGGCCATTCACCTCCGCTAAGTCGTTGAGACGCGTCAAGCTCGTCCAAGAACTGCAATCCCAGTCCTTGAACTCGAATCTGAGTCCCTTGTACTCCTCCTTTCCAGTTTCGCACTCAATAGGCATCTTCATATCTTTGACGGTCGGCATATTGAACTCAAGGTCATGGGGTGGGTAAAAGTGCAGCAGGCTGCATGTTTCCTTGCGCCGTAGGCTGAGGTAGAGAAAGTTGCTGTTTCTGCCGCGCTGGAGGCTGCGGCATCGCAAAGGGCGTTTACATACAATCGCTTCACTCAGCGAGAAGGCTTGTGTCCGGTGCCGTTTGGCTGCCAAGAACTGGCCAAAGACGCTTGAATTGCTAACTAGACGAATAGCCGGGTCCTAGGAGGCAGTTGGGCCAGCTCCCGCGCCATCTCGCGCATCAAGTTTCCGATGATTCCCTCAAGTGGATCTACATGATCCGTGCCATGCTCAGAGGCCTCGCCCACTCGCTTGAGCGATCCCGCGCTGTTTCTTACCGTCTCACCGACCACATCTGGGCGAGCGGCAAGAGGAGCTAGGGGGGGGTTCTTTTGAGTGACTTGGGCTCGTAACTTGTTATTTAGTAAATCTTGGTATGTAAAGGATAAATGAGAAACTAATTGTATTATACGTATTGTCCTAGCTAACCCTTGTGTACGTTACCGTTGATCCATTCTTGATGGTCCCGGAGAGTCGCTTTGCCTTCTCAGAGGATCACAACCTCTTAACGTCATCTGCGTTCTTTCATTCGAGGTGTAACCAACTGAGAAAACATAACCTCCTGGTCATATCATCACAATATTCTCCCTTTTGATAACATTCTCAAATTTCTCTTCAAAGATGCATTCACATTGTCATCTAATAATAGTGTAAATGTCATGAAACGGTCTCACCCAAATACAGGAGCGATACTTCCTTATGTCGTTGAGAATTTTAACCAGATCATGAAGGATGCTCAATGAGATTATGCACTTTGCTCACAAACAAAATTCATGATTGTGATGCTTGTGTGTGGTAAGGAATCCTATGACATTAAAGTGAAAAGTGAGCGAATGACAATGATAGCTCGTTACGATTCATTTTTGCTTATATTTCCTATAATTATACCGCATAAAACTGCGATATTCTATTTTTCAAACAAAATAGAATAGTCTTGATTTAGCAATATAATTAACGGCGACTGCTTATTAAAAATTAGCTATGTAATTAATAGTCTGGCCTAAGCAATTACCGCTAAAACGTATACTGTATACTCAAAATCTAGCAAAAACATAAATAATTGAAAGTCAGAAAATTGTTGTAATGTACCAATTTTTCAAACCACGCAAATGAAATATTCATTTGATATTGTGCTAACAAAAATATTTCATCAGGTAAAATTTGCCTAGTTAAAAGTTTCAGGTGCAAAATTCATCTACTGCATAATTCTTACACAAGTTAAAGTTTCTCCTATAATGAGACAGTACGTGCTGCACTGAGCAATTTTTAAGATACTAAGAAGGTCCGCTGTCGACTAGGAATTCACGTGAGGGGCATTATGATAATAAGACGCTTAGATAGGAAATGGTTTCACATAAACGATGATAAAGGATATCATTCTGCTAATATAAAGACGTTCGTTCAATTCTTAGGATTCAACATATAGCTCATGATTATTCTAGCAGTCTTTAGAGTACACGTTCAATTAGTTTGATCTGTAGTGTCTACATAGATACGCTTAACGTAACACTTGCTCATATAGACCGTCGTCACCCAACCGAATTGGAGCTGTAAGAAGTAAAATAGTTTGGGCCAAGGACAATCAGCACGTGATAGATACTTATTGATCCACGTTTAGTCTTGCTGCAGTTAGATCTGATAAACATCGATCCATAGGTCCATCACTGTTAGGTAACAGCTCCCACCATATTACGTCGCACCTAATTTTCCTAGGACCAAGCTTTTGTCTGATGTATCAGTGTGTGACCAATGCTCCTGTACATGTGACAAAACTTTCTTTTTCTACGTACGCGCTTCACTTGATGGCAGTTGAAGCAGCTTCTCAGCGCCGTGTGCCGACAAATATAGGAAATTTCCCAGTTCCAACGCCTAGTTTCGTTTCAATCACAACGCAATTTGCTTCCAAGAACGAAACAAGTCGAGCCAGGTCATTCAAGTACTGCCAAAGCCATGAAGTTCACAGCTCTTGCCGTCGCTGCTGCTCTCGCTACAACGTATGTTGTTGCCACTGACAAACCCGCCTTGCGAGCTCTTGCCGGTACTGACGCCGATGAGGTTGACCTTAACGCCAACGAGGATATGGAGCCTTCGACGGAAAGTGATGATCAACAGGAGAATGGTTGGGGCTGGGGCCGTCGCGGTAAATGGGGACATGGGCACGGCGGCTGGGGACACGGCGGCTGGGGACACGGCGGCTGGGGACACCGTGGTCACCGTGGATGGTAAACATGTTTGTTTCGCGGAATGAGCTTGAACTATTCTGATTACATGAAGATTGTTATCAGAAATGCTCACGGTCCGCCTGCTTCGACTTGCTGCGTCGGTCGGTTGGATATGAACTTGAGTCCTATCGTCTTTTCATAGCAAAGTAGTAGTAGCTAATTGATAATATGAGTGATACCGAATCAACCAAACATTTGAGTGGCATGAGATTGTTTGATTATAGTATCGTCGTGTTAATTGTTTACGTCTTGGTGTAGGATTAGTATTGTATGATTGCAAAAGACGTTATATTGTGTTACGTGCATTGTCACTTGTGTCATATCTTAATTATACCTAACAATATATATTATTAGACAATAATCCTTATTTAGCATGCAACGATTAATTACTGTTTAGTCATGATTTCCAGGTGACACTGACCATCCGGTCCAAATTAACCGAGCCCGGTTTAAAATCGTAGGGTCGTCATTTGCAGCCTGGCCAGTCATTTCACCCATTGCTCCCATTGGAGCCCTACTTTGTCTTGTAGTTTGTAAGGTGATTGTTCTTGTCTTGTTTTTTGTATGGAATCTCTATAGTGTTAACCAAGTCTATTCTATCGTCCATTTATTCTTTGGGACAAATTGGAAGAAAGAATATGGTGTCTTTGAAGCTTCAGAAACGGTGCGTTACAGGCTACAGACTTGGCAAACAATAGATACGACAATGGATATTAACCGCATTGTTCTCTTGATTGGCTATTATTCTCTATTGTTAGTCTCGCTGCGTCCGTACTCAAGTGTGGTAAGCGTAAAGTCTGGCTCGACCCGAACGAGTCCAATGAGATTGCATTGGCCAACTCTCGCCAGAACATTCGCAAGCTTGTGAAGGATGGGTTTGTCATCAAGAAACCAGAGGTGATTCACTCACGTGCTCGCTTTACAAAGCGCAATGAGGCGAAACGTAAAGGTCGTCACACTGGCATTGGTAAGCGTCGTGGTACAGCAAACGCGCGTTTGCCATTTAAGGTGATTTGGATGCGTCGTATTCGTGTGCTTCGTCGTCTTTTACGCAAGTATCGTGAGGCCAAGAAGATTGACAAGCATATTTACCATGAGCTATATATGCGCAGCAAGGGTAATCAGTTTAAGAACAAACGTGTGCTCATGGAAACGATTCACAAAATGAAGGCTGAACGTCATCGTGAGAAGACACTAAAGGAACAATCCGAGGCTCGCAAGGAAAAGGCCAAGTCTGCTCGTGATCGCAAGGCACAAAAGGCTGCTGTTCCTGTTGTAAAGAAGGAGTAAACATTGTTTCGTGGTGTTGATCCAGACAGTGACTTGTTACACACGTGAAGAAAGGAATACATGTTTCCTAAAGATGGCTACATCTTTTTGTCCCACCAATTGGTATGTTTTGTGTGTATGCAAAAAGATTCATACTGTCCTTGGTAATTGCATATGCTATTCCAGAGTCCTTTTGATACTGTCCACACCTATCCATTGCCATTAAACTCTGAACAAACATATATATTCTAACGTCATACCAGGTGATTATGGACGCAAGTATGGATGCTCCTAATCCTTCCATCTCGAAGGCAAAGCTATACGAAGTAAGCTAGCGTCATGTATATAGAAAAGAAGTGCATATGCTCATCGATAGACTGTATGTACATTATGTCAATTGCTGCTCTGTGTAGACGTTTGATGTACTGCCGAACCTGATTGATGTACTCAAGGAAGTGTTGTCGACGAGCTCTACTCAAGAGACAATACGGATTGGAGACGTGTCAGCTTCGGTACGCGTGTAGAGAAGAAAACATGGAGAGAAGGCTGTTTGTCTAGTGGAAGAATGCTCGTTAGTTTGCAAAGTTTTATGGCTAACGATTTGTTCGACTGGGGACTGTTACAACTGTTTATTCAAGGCAGTAGCAGTGAAACAAAAGTATATAGAGGCGATGGAGTTGCTGCGATCACTGCCAGGTACAAATACGTCATTAGAAGAGCAGGAGACGGCCATTGCCGATGCAAAAGTGGAGCTCAAGCGTCTCTCGTACGTTCTCAAGAGTCATAAATGGTGATCAATTGCTCTGCATTGTTAATGGACATTCTGTTTATCATGATCTGGTGCTGATTATTTACATACAGGAGTGTCGTGGAGCTTTACAGTAACACGTTGTATCGTGGAACAGACGAACCACGAGCAGAGATCAACGATGCCTTTTCCCGCAAGAGTCTTCTCAAGTAAGCAGCGACATAATGAATCTTACACTCTTTCTCAACGTATGACGACATGCAGACGTTGTTGGTCACCCATGTACGAACGAATATCAATGTACCAGACCATTTTGCAGTTTGGTGTCGTCAATTACTTTGCATGTTTGTTTAGTAGAAACCTAAGAAACCGAGGAACTTCTTAGAAAACTCTACACCCAGGAAACATGCGGCATTGGCAGGAAACGCGCGAGCCATGGCAGGTCCGACGCCGGTGAAAAGTGCGCCAGGTCCCTCTTGTTTCATAAGCGCCTGAAAACAGTGCACGATGCCACGGTATGTGCCCTCTGGCGCGGTTTGGATGCGCGACTTGATTACATCAGGAGGAATAGCGATGACCCAATTGATGATTCCCGCAAAGCCACCGGCCACAAATACACGAAAAGCATTCAGGTCGGATGGATCCTTACCCTTGGGCGTTAGACCTCGCTTTACTGCTTCAAAACCGCCAAAGTATCCCACAGAGCTGAAAGATGGAGCGTATTACAAAAGTTAGTCACCGAATAGTCACAAAAGTTAGGTTCAGGTTACATACCCTGGCACATCTCGCAACAATGTAGCTTCCCATCCGCGGAAAATACTCGCCAGGCCGCCCGTGCGGTATAATTTCTTGGCACAATCAATCATGCCATCGTACAGCTTAGGTTCACCACGTTCTACAGCCTGCGCTTGGATCTGAAGCAAGCATTTAATACGCTCACCAGGTGCCATGACGACAGTGGCCGGGATGGCTGAAAAACCACCTGCAAACATAATCTGTCCCATGGAAAAAGGTGCTGTTGGCGACTGACCCGATACCTTGATCTAATGGTAGTTGTTTGGTACAAGACATTGCAATAAACTTAAAACATGGCCGAATTACAATACAGTTAAATCAAAAAAGTATTTCAACCGCAATGAGTTTGCCCATGTCATAGCCCCAAAAACATGTGGCAAAGATAGGAGTGACACCCACTAGTGGCGCTGACATGCCACGGTATAAGCCGCGGATCTACATGAACGAATTCATCGCAATGCACAAAAGAACAGTTAGATATATTCCTTCTTGTATCATTCTTTTCCTTCTGCTCCTTTCCAACTGGTCGTACCCCGTCTTTAGCAACCATCTTGCGTGCACAATCAACAGCATTGGAATACATGGGCAACTGACCAGGTAAAGGCTTTGGTTGTGTTTGCATGTTGACCTTAATGAGATCCAACGGATGACCCGTTGCTACAAGACACATGCCTGCATTTGTATACACAATGTAATTGTTAATGGAAGGAACGTGGTGGTATATTAATGCACTTATTCACGTTAGACGTACCACCAAATCCACCGGTTACAAAGGACACGACACCAGATGTTGCTGTATATAACAAAAAAAGAAGGTAGTAAAGAGGGAAAGACTAGCGGAGAGTTTTGGTCATAAACGTACGTTCATTAGTGGCTTTTTTACCCATTTTGTATCAAAATGACAAATTAAAAGGTGATTTGAGGTCGATGGAGTAAATTATCAAGTGGGTTAGTCATATCTCACGTGTGGCTATTCCGATGGACTCGACGTTTACGTGTGCACTATAACTTGTGTATTTCACTTGTCTTTTGTATGATTCATCCATCATCCCTTTGAACGGAAACGCAAGATCGTAATTAGCTTGTAGAGGTCCTGGTTTCCTGTATCTCGCTTTTATTGATTTTGGCAGTAACATATTGGATTTTGCAAGTAGTTATTAGATGTTGCAAGTTCTTTATTCTCATCTGAATCATGACTTTATACGCTTTGGAGACTGCCACCGAATCTCGACATGTGATTGTATTGAACAGCCCGATCATGATTGATGGACATGATGTGCAATCCATTGTACATCGCATAAAACATGTCCATCAAAAGTTCTGATTATAACGGCCATAGGAATCAAGAGGTATTTACTCTGTGAGTCACAAAGGGGCAATTACGGAATATCAACACGCTCTTGGGTAAGATGCAAGGGCTTCTTACTGAAAACGATGATTGAAAAATGCGTCTTCTCTCTTAACTGCTGTGTAAACGCAAAATGTAACGATAACTGTTGCAGCGAATTAACCGATAGCACCAAATGTCTATTACGAGTTCAACATGATGGCGGAACATATCGACACATTCATTTTTTTCGACATGTGCATGTCCGTCGTACTGTAGAGACTGTAAGACTGCAGACTACTTCCAACCGTACGACCCGGCTTAACGACCAGATAGTGTGTTACGTACGCATTATGAGCGCGGCCACCTCGCATGCCCGTCGCACATGCCAGCCTTGAGCTCCACTACTTTTGAAAAAAAGAACAGGTTTGTACATGAGATAGTAAATGAATGTATCAGGGCCACCAACTTGATCATTGCCGAAATAGGTGAAATCAAAACCCTGCTATATTCGTTCATTCGTTCTGTCAGACGGCGCATGTTTCAACTTGTCTTCTCGTTTTGAAATTAGTCACACCAGGAATTGGCATATATTGTCCCGAACCATCGGTAACTTATACTTGATAAATGTATGCCGAAGGTAACGTCCACCGTGTTTTGAAACGCTCCAACCGGCCTGTTTCTGGCGTTTCGATGCCCAAGTATTTCTCTGCTCTCACTTTCTCTTCTGCCAATGGCTCACGCAGTCCTCATTGTTCAATTTGCAGTCTGAAACTCAAGTGGTTCCTGACAAGCTTGTAGGGAAGACAGCGTGTGAGACGAGACATTCTCATTCAATAGTGAGCATTGTCACTATTCCTTCCTGGCTATTAGTCTTTGTTTCTAGTATCTGTCCTTGTTTCTAGTAGCAATAGTATTGCTTTGTTTACATTCGTGCATTGTGTGCGACTTTTAGCAAGAAGCTTTTGTGAGTCATCATCACGTTCATTTACAGTCATTTGGACGACGTGATGGAAGTGCGTGTCAATACGATGCCAATCATTCAGAATTCCAACAAGCGCAAGAGTCTCTTCAGTGGCGTACCATCCTCTGCGCCGCGTCTACCAGTCTGCGGCAGTTTGCACTCGCCCATGACCACACCGATGGTTGTGACACCATCATCGCCTTCAACTGCAGCTGCGCCATCAACTGAAGGCGTCAATTTATCAACCGCCTTGATGGCGCTCAAGGTGTCGCTTAAGCGTGACTTTGAGAGCTATGCACCGCCCACACCTGCTGTCTCGCCAGCTCACGGTCGCAGCGCAGCCAAGCGCACTCGATTTGATTTTGAGGAGCTTGAAGTGCCAGACGCTGAAGAACAACGGCGAGTCAAGGCTGCAGCACCGCCCACGACCGTCAATGCGCTGCTGGCAGTCAGCAATCGCATCAAGTTTGAGCTGGAGAAGCGTCGACGCCGCGAGCACGAACGTGTTCAGAGGCCTCGTCGAAGAAAACAATTGAGTTGCTTTGCCATTGTTGGTGCTTTCCAGCGTGCCGCACACGAGCGCGAAGTTGCAATGCAGCTCGAGTGTGTTGTAGAGGCGTCAACGGATTAAGAATGACGCATTGTCGAGCACCAGCAGCTGGTTGTTCGACCGGATGGAGACGCGCTTGTCATTTATGCGAGCATTTTGAGCTATCTATTTGAGCAAATAGTTCTGTGCAAATAACTATCGTACTAATAAAGTGAAATATTTTATATGCTTGCCTCTCTATTGCTTCATCCATTGCTTCGTGCTAGCGACGTAGAGAAAAAAAGACACACTAATAACCGCCAATAGTGTCTCATGTCGCGACTGCCGTATAAAACCATCCGGTTCTTCGTTTCACTTGCCAGCACACGCTCTTTGATGTGCAGACCAAGACAACATCCAAGCAACATAAGCCCTTAGCTGCTGAGCTTCCAACAAACACGCTTTATCTCAGAGGAAAAGCCTTTAACGGTTAATGCCGAATTAATTGTCACGGCGTTGTGACATTTATAAGGTCACATACACAATATTGTGTACATTCGACGTACTCAAGCATCACCAGCCAGAACATCATGAGCACTGCTATCGCCGCAGCTGAGAAACGTACACAGAGTTATCTGTCAAAGATTGAGCATGGACAGACAATGACTAGAACATCACTGTCTGTTTTCAATAAAGAATTGCCGACCTATAAACAGATTATAGGAAAGGTGCGCGACGTTTACGTCTTCGAAGACCGCGTGTTGCTTGTGTCCACGGATCGTCAATCAGCGTTTGACCGTGCCCTTGCCTCTATTCCATTCAAAAGCCGTGTACTTACGCTTACGAGCGTATGGTGGTTCAACCAGACTAAACACATTGTGGCAAACCACTTACTAGGCGTGCCACATCCGTCTGCGATGATGTGCAAAAAGTGTTCCGTCTTCCCCGTCGAGTTTGTCGTCCGTGGTTATATTACAGGATCGACTAGCACGAGTATGTGGACCAATTATAAGAATGGATGTCGTGACTTTTGCGGCCACAGATTGCAGGACGGCTACAAGCAGCACCAGAAGCTGCCTGAGAATTTGGTTACTCCTACGACCAAGGACGAGCACGATGAACTAATTTCAGGTCTTGAGATCATTCGTAGCGGACGTATGACACAGGAGCAGTGGGACTATTGTGAGAAAAAGACGCTTGAACTTTTTGCATTTGGTCAACAACAGGCGGCCAAGCGTGGTCTCATTCTCGTTGACACCAAGTATGAGTTTGGCTTTGATGCGGCCACGGGTGACATTTTGCTCATTGACGAGATCCACACACCTGACTCGAGTCGCTACTGGATTGCTGATACGTATGAGACGTGTATGGCTGCTGGTAAGTCACCGGACAACATTGACAAGGAGTTTTTGCGTTTGTGGTTTAAAGAACACTGCGACCCGTATAAGGACGCAGTGCTGCCAAATGCTCCCAAGGAACTTGTGAATGAACTATCTCGTCGCTACATCATGCTTTACGAGCTCATAACGGACTCTGAGTTTGAGTTTCCAGCTGAAGGAAGCAAACCTGAAGACGAACTTGTTGAGGGTGTGTGTAAGGCGTTTCTCTGCAAGTAGATTATTAAGACAAGGTTGGTGGTCTTTGTAGATCAAATACACGTGCTACCTTCATACACATTAACTAGCATAAGTCTTGGGACTGTGCAGTTTCTTCTGTCTAAGAATGTAGAGGGTACATGTGCGTCTTGTTCAAAACTAGCATGGACATACTGGCAGTGGTAGGTGGTGGCTGAGTCGTATTTTCAAGGCCAAGGGGTTTAGCAAGCGGTGTGAAGAATGGACAAGGGCTCGGCGCTGACGTTGTGTGCTTATGCAAATCAGACGCACGTTGTGCTCCTCATGCTGTTACACTTGGCGCATGAAAGTATGAGCTTTCTCATTCTAGTGTATAAGCCGCCGCCTGGTTGTTACCAGCCTATTGAGAAACAATGAAGACGACGATGACTACAGCATCATCAAATATGTAGAGCTCATGCATGAACGAATGAATGGCCATCAAGCGTTGTATACAATTATAAAAGCGTGTGATTTTGTTATGGCAACAACAACAACTATAAGTACATTTGCTCTCTTCTTCTATCTGCAATGTAGCAACAAAAAGACGACATGGACCAGTATTGAAGAGCCATTACTGCGTAGAAAAAAGCTCAATACGATCAAGCCAGAAGGATAAGTACGAGCGTGGCTGGATGGCGCGTGATTACTAACGTTATAGGTCTTTTATCAAACAGACGCTTTCTGCACGTTTATGCCTAATTTTGGTGCAGATGAAGCTAATCGTCGACCACAATTGCCTACATCCTCATGGTAGATTACGTGACTTTGCTAGGCGAATAGACAGTAATATCTCATGGCCATGACTTGTCCATGCATTACTTTCAATCTACCGTTTCATTACTACAGGTTGAAGTATGTTAATACTTGTTTTTTGTATGGAATAAGTTGAAGAAGGATCTTGGAAGCCTTGATAAACATTCGAATAAAACCCAATATCTAAAACAGGTGCTGAAACTCCCGCATCCGCCTTTCTGAACTTGCTTGATATAGTAATATTCGATACTATCAGTCGTCCAAGCGACGCAAAATTCGTACGATAGAGCGTCTGTTGAGTCACCAAAGAGCACGAAACGATGGAATCAAGAAGCAGTGCAGCTGCTGCAAGCTTGTTTTCTACTGTATTGGTTAAGACTGCTATTTTGTGGTAGCGCTACTGACTGAATACGTAGCAGAAGATTCTTAGGGATTTATGTAGTGCATCACTATTGACCAAAAGCTTCTAATGTTCCGGTTCTGCTTGGAATTCATCTGTAAACGTATTTCTTTCATTTACGCTGCATCTTTTGAATTACCTACAGCGTTTCTTCTTTCTTCTTTAATGTCGAGAGAGCATCATCATGAATGCTCACTGCCACAAACTAAACACTGGACTGACTGTATAAACATCTACCCAGCTGTATTCTCTATACTCAGCACAAAATCGACTGAAGCGACATGGGTAAACTGGCTCGACGTGTGTTGAGACGTCGCACACCGGTCGTCCAATCCTGCTGTCTTGGCGTCGACAATATTGATGAAACAGTTGTAGAGCCTGTCACGCCTTCTTCATCGTCTGATAATGCTGTTCGTGTCTTGGGTTTGAAGCTCTTGGTTCGATTACCACGCTTGATCATCTCTTCCGTAGCTGGCGAGGCCAAGCGGCCTGTTGAAATACCTTTGGCTGCCGTATTAGGGTCTTGCATAATACATTCAAGCGTGTACTCAAAAGCCGTGATTTTCTTGGCAATATACTCTCGGTTTGTACCTTTCGCCAGATGAAAAGATTCGCGTAACATATTGATACTCTTTTGTAAGCTACGAATCTGACGATGGGGCCACCGTTGAATACCATGGCGTCGACAGATCTTCTTAAGTAACGTAACACAGATACCAAATTTATCTGCAACAGCAGCAATGGGCATGTTAAAACAATTGCGCAAGTCTTGAAGCTCCACGACTGGTCCATAGCGTTTACTGCTCCCACCTCGGCGCGTCATCATGCTATTGTTGCTACAAGGAAGTGGTGGTGATACAGGAGCAGGAGATAATTTGTACACCATGGGACTCAATGTATCAAAGACATCAAAGTTATTAAAGGCATCTGAATAGCTCTTCATGTAACATTCCGATGAAAAAACAGAGGGTTGAGATGACACGTTGACTGACAAGCCAGTCGTCATCTTATTCCAGTAACTGGCTGGTAAATGGTTTACTTTGACAATAGGTGCAGTAATATGATTATTGCAATTGCCTCGTTTGAGTGACATGAGGATCTCACCCATTAGTATATCATCAACGCTAAAGGAGGGTGTTGAGGCGGCATTAGTGGTCATTTTATTTGAAAAATGACTAGTGGTTCACACGGAAGATAGCGTAATGACTGTTTATACGGCGTACAAAAGCTGCTTGGTCATTGTAGCGACGGGTGGGAAGAATCGACTGGAGCGTCCAGTTTTGCCAGTTTTAACTACGTTTCACTATACATGCGGAGCAGACGGTAGACTTCAAAACCTATAAAAGTAAATAAAGATCATGCTATGTGCCGTGTTGATCAGGGTCTTACAAATATATAGTCAAATAACCTGTCATAATACATTACAAACGGTTCAAGCAATCACCCCATCCCTCCGCATCCCTGCGTCGGCAAAACCGCTGCACCACTGTCCTGCGACAGAGCGCCCCTTCAGACACTTGCAGCTGCAATGTTCCCGTTCAAAATGGATCACTTACTACAACAAATCAGTAAAAGCTCTTGGAATTGATTGATGCTAGTCAACTCTCACGCATGTTATTGTTTCCTTCCTTGCTCTTATGTCGTATTGCTCTTATGTTGTATTGCTCTTATGTTGTATTGCTCTCGTTGCTAGTCAAGAGATCAGTCCATAGGGTCATTTACTTGCATGGCGTGTATTCTGAGACACGCATAATCGACGACATATCAGATTGTATTATTATTATCCAATAAAAAATTACCCGAACCTTGCATGATTATTTTATCTCTGATAGTTAACGGTCGCACCAATCAATTGATACATGGATACCTTTGCAAGAGATGATAGGATCAGATGCAAACCTTACTGCGTTAAATACTCACTTTTGTAGTCTTCAATTAGAATGTAAAATGCTATTGGTATAAATAGTAAAATGTAGTCACGAATGATACATACCGATACATTCGTTCAACATCCATAATTTGGGCGACAGCACTAATGGCTACAGGTTCATTGACACAAGTAAAGACATTATTAATGTAGTTTCATAATACTAACTTACTCCATTTAAGACGATAACGACAATCAGTGCTATCTATATCCGAGATGCCTTTTCTTTCTTGATTATCTGGTACTTACTTGCATCCACTTCAATGTACTGTAAAATTTCGTGTCTGATAGCCGTAATGTCCTCAGCAGAAAATGCATTTGACGTGATCAAAGCCTCAAGATGATTATTCGTCACATGTTTGCTAATCACTCCATTGTTCAGAGCTAGCAGACCAAGCTCCAAGCAATTCTTCAACATCACCTCAGCAAATTTCAATACGTAAGCACCACAATCATAACTGTTTTCTTGAAGTGGAGTCTTCACGTTCAGAGTCACCACACGTTCGACTTGATATTCTGACATCAATGGTGTTTCTTCACTATTGCTCAAACGTTGTTCTTGCAAATTGTGCCACTGCATTCGTAAAAATCTACTTGCAATCAAACGCAGCAAAATTAGCACTTTACAGCAGTCTTTATCAATCAAACATATCGACCGATATTACATACGCTCTTAAATTGCGAATAATCGCTGCTTTACAATGATATGATCCAAGTGGATCCAGCACAGCAATACACGAGAAGGCTTCCTATATAATCAGCAGACCAATGGTTACCATGCGCCACCAAAATAATGACAAGATTAAACCGACTCGTAGTAAAACAATGCCTTGTACAAACATACCTCATCACTGCGACCAGTTCCGGCAATGCCAGGATTCAAAATGACGGCAAGACTCCAATGCAAGCTAGATGACACAAAATGAGCTTATTCATACGCACGTCCAAATCATGCAACCACAATACCCCCGACTTACTCCTTATTGATGGGAATAAATATGATCGAGCGATTGAATACATTCGATCGCGCAAGCCACGTCGACACATTCTTGTATCCGGCCTCCATACGTCCACTTGCCGTAGAGCCTTTTCCAGCTCGTAGCCTGGAGTAAAAATGCGAGCTTAGGCAGAGCACCTTTTCCTGAACAAGCTCGTTGTTTTGAAAGGTCTTCAGTATCATACGTCTGTAAGAAGCACATCAATTGCGATGTCAGTCATGTCCACCTGTTGCCCTTGGCAAGCATTTGTGCACACTTACTTAAAATAATAATCGATAATGTTATCGTTCAGGTACCGCCTGGGCTTCAGCCGCGACACATCGTGCCGAACAATTGTTACAACATCAATCGTGCAAGGCGGCAACGGGTACGTTAGCACAATAACGCTGCCATCAGTGCCATCTTCGTCCGATTCTGATGCGCTATAAACACAGATGAACAACTTAGCTTGCATCATATAAGCAAAAGGCACCCACCAAATCGATTCATACGTGTCCGCAGCATCGCTCCTTCGCCGCCGAGAGCGCCGACTTGACCTATAATTAAACGGCTCTTTCATCAAAGCTTGAAGGTAATCTTTCGCTTGTTCCTTGTCATCTCTACCAGCATAACACACGTGATGATACAGATGAATCGATAAAAAACCACTGAGTTTGTCATCAACAACTCCAACTGCACAGTACATTAGTTGTATGTTGGCATGACATTGTAGAATATCCTTGATATCACTCAAGTCATCACCCGAAGCATCCTCTAATGGACGGATGACCATGTATCCTTTCGAGACATCTAAGCATTTTTTGTTCAGTCACGACCACCAAACAAGTCTAATTAGCGTCGGCAGTTCACATTGCTTTTCTTGTTCGTGACCAAGGTTTTAGCTCTCCACGTACCGGAACCCGAGGGATCATAAAAAGTGCTTACTGCAGCGTGATCAGTTTCCTCTGACATCGGCGCTTTAAAAGCTATATACGATACTTCCTCTAACAACTGTCTCATGCGGTCAGTCGCGCTGACTCCGACTTCAACGCTTGCGTTGATATCCTTAGATACGCTGTATACTCTGCAAACACACACATGAGACGGTCAGTATTGGCGCAGACATTACAGCAACAAAGACGTACGTGATGTTTGTACATACTTCACATCCTGCAAGTGTTTATATTCCAGCAGGTAGTCCTGCTTGAAAGGCCAATTCTCGTACTTTCCTCGAATATTTTTCATATACATCTGATCGTCCTGAAAGAATAGGTCGACAACGCACTGAAAGAGCCCAATCATCACATCACAATTGGCAATCTGCGCAATGGTGTGTAACACAATGGCATCAAAGGCAGATACAGTCTGCTTCCCCTCAAGTTCCATCTTTGTTGCATTGTTCTTCCGTTCACTCATTCCTTCGTCAACAATCTTCATATCACTGATGACAGCACTGTCGGATTGCCTCTGCACTTCTGCCTTTGCTTCTGCTTCTGACTCGGTATCCGAGTCCAGTGCAATTGGCTTGGCTGCCGATCCTTCACTACTTATCTTTCGTTTCCCCAATCTCGCGGATTGATGGGTTCTCGCCACAAAAGACTGCGTTGGTACAGGCGGAAACTCGGAAAATAACGCCGGTCGAATTCGATCTCGTAACGCATAATGACGAATCAGTGGCGTTGCCGATTTGCGTGCATGTGGAACCTTTGCTCTCTTCGTCACGGGCGTCAACACGACCCCTGATTTCGATACTGGCGACTGCGACTGCTGCATTCTCATATGTATCCAATCACAAGAACCTGTATCTAGCTTGAAAACGTCCGTCTTTGTCGGTATCACTGCACTAGCACTTTCCAACGACGACGGGTATGCAAGTATCTTTGACTTGAATCCAGCTCCTCGATTCACAAGTGTATTCTTTGTAGTCAAATTGGACAGAAAATCATGTTGTTTCTTCGGTGGCAGAAAACCCTATCGATCGAAAGAGAGACACACAAACAAACAAACAAACAACAACACATATTAGGTCAGTAATAAATCACTTGAGCATCTCATTTACCTATAAATATATACATCTTCCTCTACTTTATCAAGTATCGCATCAATAAGACCATGAGATGATGGGGTAGGAATAGACGACGTTACAATAGAAGACCCTGGAGCACAAATCGTTTGTCCACTGGCTTGTAGTTTTCTTGTCATGTATTTTGTAGATGAAACTTCAAGTCCTTTGGTCGTTTTGTTTTCTTGACCAAAATCAAATTCTTGTCCCTTCTTCTCGTCCCAATGATGACGATACTGATGATGATAGATGGATCCCGAGCTAGAATCATACGAGATTATAGGTAGAAATTTATAGATACATATACAAAATGTGAGATAATTTTTATAGGAACGAGCTATCGTGTGAAAGGGAAGTAATTTATGAACGAGAATTATACACGAGACCGAAGTAATTTATCGATAAGGTTCTTTATTACTTACGGAGGTCGAAGGATCGTACGATCGGAAGCAACAGCGGATGAATCTCGTTGATGTGAGCATTGAGATCGATTGGAAGAGCTAGGATAATGATGACTAGTGCCTGTTGGTGCTTGACGACGGGCACCGAAACGTCGATGTCGTCTAGGATGCTGGTCTTGCATTCCTCACTGCGGTTTTTATAGTATGTTGTACGTATAGAGTTATACGTCCGGGTAGATGGATACTGTATACAAGAATTGCTTTTTATATAAAGCTAATGATAATAACTTGTGAAGTACGATCAAATAGAATCTGAAGCAATTTCTAGATTAGAAAATTTGAATTGACCTAAATGCTCATGAGAAAGTTGAGCTAGTGAGCACGCTTTGAGTTACCAAAACAGTATGTATCATAACCAAATCAATACTTTGATGCTTCTTCATTTTGCCCACTTCTTCAATCGAACAGCTATCGATGACGATTGACAATTCATTGGACTATGTTGCTGCTTTACCATTTAAGGCAATAGAATGATCAAAGCAGCAATACTTGATGTATTATGTGCCTTTATGCTGACGTCCTGGCATGAACACTACGCCTGAATAGCTTTTTTTGTGACAAACTAACAACCTCAAGAACAATGATCTGCTTGCTGCTTGTAATCGAAACGTCGCGACGGTACGCTAATTAATTTGCCTATTACCGTTTATACCCTTAACAGTTCAATCCTGGCGAAATTTTCACCAAAAACTCACCTGGTCGGAGAAACTGGAAGCAAAGACATTGGAGACAGACGAGTCTCGGGGTTTCCAAGCCAAAACACTCTACCGCTTTCAGCTGAAGGAATTCCACATTCTGATTTACTGCTTATCAACAAACAATACACTATTGCACAAGACAACATGTAGCACTCTAGCACGTCCTCTATCAGTCTTCGACTGATACTTGTCAGCACCACTTCTCTTCCCATTCACACTATCTTGATATCATTCTAACCTAATGTCCATTATACTTAGATGCTAACGCAAAGCAGGACTCGAGCGCTGCTTCTACCTCAACCCAACCCTCTTTTGTATCCTGTAGACAAAAACGTTTGGCCAAACGCTTTATCAAGGTAATCTATTCTAACAGGACAAATAAGATACTATAATCTACTTATCTACACCTGCTTTATCCAGTATATTACAAAGTAGAGGTATAGTAGCGCTACGTTACGACGTGTTTTTGTGTATCGCTTCGTCCCATCGTCCTTTCTTTCGGATTCAAATTTCTTAGCAAGATAAAAAACAGCCACCATAAAGTCGGTCAGTCAATCGAAAACAACTGCTCGAGAATCTCAATACTTGCCCAAAAGTCAATTCCTTGCCACAACATCATTACGTCTGTGAGTGTAGACTTCTATTCTAATACGATAAAGTAGTAGCAATAGTAGCAGTAGTAGTACCAGTGGGAGTATAGCAATATCGCTGGACATTCTTCCTCGTTACACAATGTCCGACGTTGTCGTCCCATCCTTCTTTCCAACGTCCACTGAAATTGCTGGTGGAATTCAATGGGTTAAACAACATCCTGTGGTCGTTACGGCCGCTGCGGCTGCCGCAACTGCAGTGAGTGTATTTACATACTTGAAAGCTACGACAGAGGATGAGATGGAATTGAAACCATCATCCATTCTAAGCCCTCGAAGTAAACAGAATGAGACCAATGATCGATGCAGTAGCACCGCGAGTGATGCGTCGACACCATCAAGAGATCGTATTTTGAGTCCTTGTAACCTCAGTGTACGTGAGGATGAGAATGAAGTGTAAAATAAGAAAGTATCGATCGAAGGCATGAGAGTAGTGCGTGTGCAACCTTTGAGCTAACGTTTTGTATGATGCTTTCAGTCTATTGAATTAGATACGGACGTGGATGTGAAGATGAATGATACAACTATGGGAAAAAAGGAAGTAGAGGGAGATATGAACGAGGGAGATGGAGGGACTGGATCCCCACAATGGGGATGGTACGTCTCAACAACACCACCCGAGGACTATTACACGTGATGTGTATTGCAATCCAGACTCGACTCATCATCAAGTGCCGTAGAATTTTGACTCAACAACAACAACAACAGCGTTGCGATGGCTTTCTTTCCTCCCTCTATGCAGTAATCTCGAGACGTGCTCTACCATAGACAGCGTCTACTTTGCTAGATGGTTGCAATGGTGTTATCTTCCTGTTACGACTGGTTGATCTTGGACTCCGAGCAAGCCGCATGCATGTACTCTGGTCTTTGTTCTAATATATTAAGGCCTTCGCGACACTATCATACTCGTTGTTGATTATTGTAGCTGTGATTATTGTTCTGTGTGCATCTTGCTTGCTCCACAAACACGACATGAGGAGGTTCTATATGCTGCTGGGCATGTGCTGGCTGTCTATAGTCTGAGTTGGGCTATGGTCTATTATAGTAGATCAGTCACTTACGCTCCAAGCTGTTCGTCTACATGTTTTCATGAAATGGGTATCAACTTGCCTGGTACAAGACTTCTGTTCGGGTTTGATTACTAGCTCGATTGTATTTGCTTAGTCAGAAGCATCGCGGTCGCATGAAACACGATGCATTCTCGTCGATGAAATGTTTCTGACTGCTGCTGTTTTGAGGATACAATGCACACCTTTGGCGCTCAAAAAGTTGTCTTCAAGGCCGAAGAACTGCAGTGTAGGGCAAGCTGAACTTGTCAACAATCGTTGTAGCTCACTCACACAGGTGTCGGTGACGACGTTACCTCCCATGCACAGAACTTGAAGCGAAGACTGCGTCTGGGATTAAAGAATGCACAACTGCACGCAGTCCAGTCTCACCTATGAAGTTGCGGCGTAGATCCAAACAAACAAGGCAAGGAGCTTGTGGAGACAAAAGCAAACGTGCGACTCTGTATGCGCCGAGATTGCCAAGGTTGTTACCAGCCAGCAGTACGTCTTCCAAAAACGGACAGCAGCCAGTTCCCAGTGCATTGCACAGTGGGAATAGACCGTTGTGGCCTATGGTATTGACAAACACCGAGATGAGCTGCAACTTCTTGAGATGCGGGAAGGTGCCGTAGTTCAATGCAGTAGCCAGAGCTGCCACAGCACTTTCGCCATCATTCAATTCGTTCACGGGAAGTTCTGCACAGCTTCTAGCGTAAAGTGGAGTTGTTGCTGAGCCCACTCTTGACAATGCTCCAGCCTGGTGTACAACAAGCTGCTGGAGGTTGGTCAGCCAAAGCATGGACGAGTTGGAAGCCAACCCTTGTGTCAACTGAGCAACCTCCATTGTCAGATACAGTACGCAACTCGATAAGAAGGTAGCGGCAATCGATTCAGCAATCGTTGACGCAATGCCTCTTTACCGTCCAAGAACGAAAAAACTAAGCGTGTGCAGTCCTCGACGATGATTAAGAAGATAGTGCTACTTGTAGCTCTGTACGTGCATCGTCGACGTTTAGTCATCCTGTTTCCTTGCATCACAGTCCGTGACACAATGCGACGCTTTCTGGTCTGCACGACCGTCTCATTTGCCACAGCTTCGTACACACTAGAAGCTAAAAAAAGGCTCTGTAGTCGTCGTCGAAGCGTAGCCAGATTGCAATATTCCATCAGCGAGCCGGCACGCGAGTAGAGTGCCAATTCAATGTGTTCAGCCAGCAGCACCGCTCTGACCGAGTTCGCGTCGGACTTGCTATGACTTCGCGAAAGCTGCACAACTCGTTGCACCATCATTCGCCGTTCCGATACGTGGTCTGCGGACTGCCATTGTAACTGATCGCTATCTACCTCTTGAACGTCATGCATTTTAACGGAGATTTCAGTTCGGTTGGCATTGCATCGTTCGAGTCGAAGCTGCATCCATTGCAGAGACGGCATTACTGTTTGCCGTTGGGGCACTCAAACTCCGACTCAGACGTGTCATCATCACTTCTTGTGTTTGCATTATCGCGATCTCGTATAGTAGATATCGACCGGTAAAAGCTGCAATGACACCGCAAAAGTGTCAATGAATCGGGCTATTGGCTGCTTCAGCAGGTACCTAGCACTGCACCTTCAGCTCGTTTTTGAGAGCTCTCGGCTCTTCTCTGAAAACCTCAGGCGTGTGTGTCTTCGAGACATCCAAGCGTTCAGGCGTGACCAAACACAAAAAAACAGGCCACATCCGCACGCCCAGCTGAAACCCCATCTCCATATCCTCAAACGCGAAAAAGACGAGCAATGCTTGACAGCTGCCAAACCACAAGTGGTGCCTCCTAAGCTGATGATCAGATTACTTCGAGACGAAAACTTGCTTGAGCTTGTCGCTTAACCAAATATTGTCACTAGTCGTTCATGGTAGTAAATGTCCTTTGCCATACTTACAGTATTCAATCGACCAGTTTGCCGCTGACAACCGAGCTGTGCCGAATTCAAGCTGCAAACATGCGTTCTAACAACGATCAAATGTATTCATGTTGTAACCTTTGACGCTCTGAGTCAAACATGACCGTACTCTCTCGCATGTAGGAAGTCTTTGTGCATACCAATGCACAACGTGGTCTATCCACGATAATGTCGTAAGCGCAACTCGTTTTGAAAGAAAAATGGAGTATCGTGAACACGCTACTACAGACAAACCTTGTAGAAACATTACCCAGTGACATGTAGTTGAGACAGCAAACTTCTTTTGACCTGGTTGTTAGTGGCTGTGTGGATTCTACCCCATCGACTACATCGCTGTCGATCCGACGTTACTCATTCCAGACGGTTGAAAATCTTTTGATGTATCTTCCGCGAAAGCTCTTGAATCTCAATGATCCTGCATCCGTTAAAAGATGACATAGGTAAAGGTCTGTGGATGTATCCAAAGCAGAACACGCTAATGTTGACTGAGCTCATGCGGTTGTACTTCATGTGTTTGAAACTCAAGTCCCGATCTCTACCTCGCAGCAATGCCTGTCAAACTTTCGCTTCTACGGAAGAATAAGATGTACTGACGTTGGCGGCTGTATGCGTCATTTGCTGCTGTGGCGCAAACTCCAAAGCGTTTCTCATTACGTCTTCATTTGCCTATAGGTGATTGAAAGCTTGACATCAAGTGCAAAGACGACATTCTGCCAGCTCAATGTAAATGGAGACGGTGACGGATGTTTCTGCGTTGAAACTCAGCTCGTGCTTTCCAGCTACCGAATCACCTTGATTCTGCTTTGCGGGTCACGTAGAATCTTCGATACTTAGTCTGCAACGTTATGAGGACTGGACTAGCTAAAACAAGATTCTCAGAGCTCACCACGTCGTGTGATATCTGCCGAAAGGTAGCTCGACACAACCATCCCGAATTTATCGATGTGTAGAGCTGAGAGATCGTTACAATGAAGCCATCAGTTCAATCGCAGCAAATGTTCTGTCCTCAGGTACCCTTAACAAAACGCCCATTCCATGCTGCGGGTTGCTCTTTCCACTCGCCGTCACGTTAACCTGACATAATCTAGGATGCTTTCGTCGCTCCGTCAACTCCGCAAAGTATGCAACGAGCGGAATAATATACAAACGCAGCACCTCGAGGTTCGATCGACTTGAGTAGTCCGAACGATTACCTCGCACCCGCGACGTGCAGCCGTAGGCGGCGGCTACACGTCTACCAACCGTCCATATGGAGTCGTATCAGCTACAAAATAAAAGCGGTTTCTGGTTGCTTTCTGTATTGTAAGACATGAAATCTAACGAGACGGCGTGCAGCTAAAACTTGCCACCAGTAAACACATTGATCGCATACGAGAATGCAGCAAAACCCGCACATCCGAGACATTGCGCTTGGAATCCCTGACCTGCTGCAAGTGCTGCACCCGTTGCACAGCCCGCAACCAACTCATTACCCACATCGTGCCGTCCACGAATTTTCTCGGCCGTGCATTCCAATCCCGAGAACATGGCTACAAAAAGCACAACATTAATCAAATCATATCAGTTTCAAGTCTGCACGAACATACTGGTATCAACTGTAGCACATTGACCTGAAATGACGAGAAAATTATTGCCCCAGTAGCGGCACTTGCCCGCTGTAACTCGCCACGATCCCGCCAGCTACACCACCCGTTTGTCAGTAAGGGATTATATCCTCATCATATATGATCATCATCTACCAAGAGAGAGAGAAAGAGACGTACTGATTCACGCCATGGTACTTTTGGTAATTCTCTTTGTCCAGGAAGCGGTACAGGTGGTGTAATACCTTCGTAGCTGCCCAATACTAATCCAAACGCATTACCCATCACATAACCTGTATAAATAAATACATACATACAAATACACATAGACCATCAAAAACCTGTCAGAATGATATAAACGTACATAATGAATATATTTTTTATACAATCAAGACACACACACACCCATTGCAGCTGAAAGAAAGAATTTGCCCATACAAGACTCGGTAATCGGATTAGGCTGCTGCCATTGCAGAATTTGAGGAGGATATACTGGTAAAAATGGATGTACACCAACCATATTATACAGCAAGTGCATATTAAGAAAGCTTCGAGGAAACAAGAATGGACTAGGTGGTGTCTTCTTGCTCAGGTCTTCTAGATGAATGCCCAATTGGGCATTCGCATCTTCTGTCATTTGCTTGGTATTTGATGTCGTCATTGAAATTTATCCTAGAATTGGGTAAATTACATTTCAATTTAATTTAAATTTCCGTGTGGTCGTAATGTATAAATTTATGAATTTGATAAACAGCTGAGTAATACAATATTGACATTCGGGATTGGGACTTGTTTTAGTCTTATTTGTAACGTCAAAACCGGTAGCAATGCAGTTTTTGTAAATTTAAGCGACCACATGTATCGCTTAAGTATTCGAAGATGTGGGAATTAATTTCGGTGGCTTTGCTGTATGATAAGGATACTATATGTTTTTTTATCATCGTGTTTGTATAAGCAAAGTAGGTAGGAAGGCTGTAACTATACGCCTTGATGGACGATGTCATCGTACTGCTCGATCACCTTACGTCTAGGTCATTTGTTGCAAGAGTGTCGTAGAGAAGCCAAACGTAGGTTACAAGAATGAACTTGAAATCGTTCATAACGATACTACCTTTGTCGTCGGTGTGGGCAATATAACTGGAGGTGATTGCGTATATTTCTGCGCTATGATCGCATTGACGACCGTATATTGCGTACATTGTGCTCAATGTGAATGCAATGATCCATCTAAGCATTCTAACCAAGAAGTGGGTACATCACAAGATGCTTCTTGCGTCAGTGCAAGTGGACAACGCGTTCTAGATTTGCATCAGCTTGCTGGACTTCGTTGTATGTTGAAACATCTTGATTTGCATGTGGCAACATGGTCTGTCTAGCAACACAAGAAAAAGCCATATCGCTGTGTCTGAGCCCTTAACGCAATAATCAAATGGCGGTTTAGTTGTCTGGACTTGACGATGTTTGTAAAGTCGAAAAATATAGCAGCAGGTTTCCATCGGCAAAAGACGTTTTTGTCGGCTTTGGTTGTTGTTACCATGCGTACCATCCAACCTCATTTGTGCTTGACGTGATACTAGATGTGATATGAAGTAGCCTGGCTTCGACCGTATCCAGCATAAGGTGTGCTCTCTTCCTATGAGCTAATGCTTTTGACTTACCATTTCCTCGGACGAGTTGTTGACAAAGGACAACTCGTCCTTTAAGAAAAGTCTCACGATGAGTGTCACTCCTTCTTGCAACCTACATATGACACTTACAACGGATTACAACTCTCAAAGTTTCTTGTGGTACAAACATGATTATTAGTAGTCGAGCGTAGATTACTCTGTTCTCCTAATTACTGGACAAATTAATGTCGAGCTTCTCTTGATAAAAAAGAAGGACCCAATCTTCACTCATTCGTAGTTCCACGGAGACGTAAAGGTGCGTGTTGCATGACTCGTTGCGACAACTTGACAAACAGTTTGAAACGTTCAATGTCGTTGATAACTTGGATCGTGATTGTTCCAGCTTCCTTGTCTTCTGTAATTAGCACCGTCCCTTCTCCTTGGTGACTTCGTGGTCCTACACCTGGAAGAAGACGGCTTCCAGCATCTCGTATTTTCGTAATCGCGGTCTTGAGCCACGTCCATAGACCATTGCCCTCATATGTCGACACAGTAACTGTCCCACCTCGATTGGCCTCATCATAGACAATATCCGATGATACAACTGGGCTTCCGAATCCATTTCTAGGGGTTACAGGTGCAGCGTTCACATCAATTGACATCAAGTCACGAGGAACGTTCTCACTAATGGATAATCCACTTGCAAGTACAAGGATCATGACACCCATGACAAGGCGATTCAAAGGACTCATACTTTCTTTACTACTTTTGTGTGTTGCTAGATACCGATCAGATTGATCAATGAACGCAAGAAAGAAGGTCAAGAATATGAAAACGCCGACCGTGCTAGATAAAGACTTGGTAAAGACTGTCAGGAATTGAGATACAGACTGTCATGTATGGATCAGGTACATTTACGATAGATGCAGACAGATTAGTAAAGACTGTCTGACTGTCTATCTGTATCTATCATAACGCACCTGTGACTTAGTTCTATAGCCTTGGTATCAGTTATTTTAAGAGAGAGTATGATTTAGGATAGGAAAAGTCTGACAAAATCATCGAATATTTATGATTCGTAGAAATACTTGTCGGTTGTATCCAATCATATTCATTTATTGTTGACTGGCCATCAACGAAAGATAAAAGATGACGAGGAGGAAGCTCTGTAGTATAATGACACCACTTTGAAAAACCTCTCCAAACTTTAAACATGGCCGATACTAATATCTATCCACGTGCTGAGCTAGATGGTCATAATGGCAAGGCTGTGACATCTATTGCTACAACACGTGAAAACCCAAACCTCTTGTTAACTGCCTCACGTGACAAATCGCTACTTGTATGGCAATTGTCAAACGATGGTGAAGAGTACGGATTTGCCCGTCGTCGTCTACAAGGTCACTCACATTATGTAGAGGATGTGGTGATATCATCGGATGGACAGTTTGCTTTATCAGGATCATGGGATGGTACTCTTCGTCTTTGGGACTTGAACACGGGCATTACCACACGTCGCTTTGTTGGACATACGAAGGACGTCCTGTCGGTGGCTTTTAGCGCAGATAATCGTCAGATTGTGTCAGGCTCGCGTGACAAAACTGTGAAACTCTGGAACACTTTGGGTGAATGTAAGTATACTATTACGGAGGATGGACACACGGAATGGGTCTCTTGCGTACGCTTTAGCCCCTCGACTGCGAATCCACTGATTGTCTCATGTGGCTGGGATAAGGTTGTTAAGATCTGGAATTTGTCGAATTGCAAGCTACGTACTAATTTGTTTGGCCACGAAGGATACCTTAACACAGTGACTGTGTCTCCTGATGGATCTATTTGTGCTTCGGGTGGTAAGGATGGTACTGCCAACCTTTGGGACCTGAACGAAGGCAAGCGTCTTTACTCACTCGTGGCTGGTGATGTCATCCACGCGCTCGTGTTCTCGCCTAACCGCTACTGGTTGTGTGCAGCTACTACGTCTGGTATTAAGGTTTGGGACCTTGAGTCAAAGATTGTTGTGCACGACCTGCAACCGGAGATTGAGGAGCCTAAGGGCAAGTACGCTCAGCCACCGCACTGTATCTCGCTGGCCTGGTCGGCTGATGGTTCTGTGCTCTTCTCGGGTTACACGGACGGTATTGTTCGTGTGTGGGCTGTGGGTAACTAAGCGGTCAATACTCAATGTGCTTACCATCTAGTGGTGCAGACTGTAACTGGTTGTGGAGACTCAAACGAGATGAGTGTTATGTATAGCAATATTTCAACATGACACCATTTTGAATTTTTTCTGCTTGTGCCAATGCTTTTCATGCGCTTTGCTCTACACGTATCGCCCCCAGATGTAGGAAGGATACTTGCAAAACCAAGTTAAGCTAACATAACACTCATGACTGACTACAAGTGATTTGTAAAGAGGCCAAATGCATCGGAAGTTGTTTATTAAATCGTCAACAGCATAAAGCAGCACTGCATCTATTACTGTAACAAGTCAGTTACACGACACTTCCAGGCCAGCAGCCCGAGCAACGAATGACTCACCCACAGCACCACTGCATCGTGCGCTACATGCGAGTACGGCCCCGATTCCATCTGCGAGAAGGAAAAACACGAGTCAACAAAATCAAGTATTTACTTGAGTTTCTTCTTAATACGCAGCTGGTTGCTGTGACCACATTTCTTCTTGCGGCAGTTCGTGGCACGAGGCGGGAGACGTGCGTAGCAAATACGGCAAATCTGCTTTTCACAGTTTGTCTTCTTGGCTAAAGCAGCAAGCGTAGGCTCAATAGCACCACCACGTAGACGTAGGACCAGGTGAAGCGTCGACTCTGCACGATACGATCAAAATGCATAGACAATAACATTCATGTCAATACACGTATGAGCGAGTAGCAGCACCCAAAGTAATCTTCTACATACCCTTCTGGATATTATAGTCCGACAGCGTGCGACCGTCTTCAAGTTGCTTGCCAGCAAAGATCAAACGTTGCTGATCAGGTGGAATACCTTCCTTGTCTTGGATTTTCTGTTTCACATTGTCAATACTGTCAGACGATTCCACGTCCAAAGTAATGGTCTTTCCCGTCAAAGTTTTTACAAAAATCTGCATCATTTCCTACAACTATCAAGTCAAAAGCATGTCAGACACACGTTATTCCACGCTTACTATTAAGTCCGAATGCGTCGTCTGAGAGTTGCTGCATCTCCTAGTATCGATTCGACAGTCTGAACATGACTTTGTCATGCTATTTCTCCACTACTAGACTGTATTCAAGCGCCAAAATTGGCCAAGCTAATGTTCATATACCAATATAAACACGGCTATAAGCTGCAAGACCTAGCAACCTCGTACACAACGCATAGGACCATTGTACAAAGAAGCCACATGTAAGCACGAACACACCTTTTCGTCTCGCAAAATGAATGCTTACGGTCGAATGAAGATTGCAAAGGTTTCCGACCAACCAAGTGAAAGCATACAAAAACCAAGTATAATGGGGGCTGAACCTATTGGCCATTCAAAAATGAAGACAAACTTTCAATTGATAGATGCAAGCCGGTCAACGGGTTCGTAGACCGGTTCATTGGGGATAGGGATTAACAAGTCTACTGTCACATTTATAAGCTACAAATGAAATTATAAATGTACCAGTTTTTATAAATACATCATCAATTTTGCTGGGATTTATCTGATCGCATGCATCTCAAGCTCAGAATGATGATCACTCGGGACTCGAAGTGAACTGTGAACATAAAGACTGTATTGCAGACTTTTAAGACCGAGATTTGTAGGATATAGCAGTTACTATTGACGTGTTGTGTACCTTTAGTGACTATGTCGAGCATTTTGCAGAGTTAGAGTCGTCTCTTTGGACAAAGTTATAGCATAGCACCGTAAAACTTAAAGATGTTAGTAAGCGCGTGACAAAAGCCGTAACACTTGACGAAGCCCATGAAAGAAATACTGGAGTTCCTGGGTTGTGGAAGATAAAATGTCTTATTCGATTGATGTCTAGTGAGTGCCTCGTTGGTTGCCACAAGAAACTGTTCACAGTAGGATCGGATGACTAAAAGACCGAGAGGATACCACGAGTTGTGCTGTCACTCGATGGAGAGGATTGGCATCTATGAAGCATATTGCAATCACTTTGTTATGGTCCAATCGATAGCAAGAAGTCAAGTTGTTCTCGCCTGTTCGTGCTGGGCTTTACTATTTGATGCGAACACTACATCATATGCAGCAGATCGAACGACGCGGTTATGACAATATAACTTCATACAAGACAAAGTGGGTAAGGCTATGAGAGATGCAAATTTATTACGAAATTATCAAACATGTAAAACTACTGCCATCTCTTCTATAGTCTTCTCTCACCGATTCATGAAAGCTGACGCAATCATGAGGATTCAAGCCGCGAGAAGGTGCTGCACAAGTCTCTCTCGCTGTTTTGAGCTTTTAAGCTCGGCCAGCTTTTTCATGATATCTGATTTACTTTCTGTGGTAAGCCACGTCTTGACATGTCTCTTCAACAGTGCCTTTATCCTGAGTTTCGTTAATTTGTCCCCTCTTAACACAAAGGCACCATCTAATATTTTTGCTATTTCAATGTCAGAAAATTTTTGTTTCAACACTGTGTACAAGGCGTCTTCTACATGTTTGGTGAAGGATGAATGCATCGTTTGCACCCATAAAACTTGTGGATGGCACTACCTTTTTACAAAAAGCATACACAATTGTATTGAATGCAATTTGAGCTTGCGATGTTGTTTCTATCAGAGTGATTTCCTTTAAATGATCGAGTGTGAGTAAATCTGTCGTGATTTTGTCAAATGCAACCATCGCTGCTTCAGACCTCAAATTACGATTGACTGAGGTGCTGGTCTGAGCTGCATTTGGTGTATTTGACACACGCAGGCTCCGTGTGACCTCCTCGGATATCACATCTTCAGTGGCCACAATCCTTGTTAAAATCGCGAAGAACGTGACAGCAGCCAGCATTTTTGTATAGGTCAGTTCGACTTGGCAAACATCTTGAGCGTTAAGGACGATCAGGTAGGCCGTAAAATGCGAAATGAAGAGGAGCTAAAAGACCTGAAGCTGGACCGGGAATTCGATGCAATCACAGCTTGAATTTGTTGAACCAAAGGGCAACTGTCTTGTGTCCATCCAAGAGTCCGATGCAAATTCCAGCTTGAATCAGCAACATGATTTGGGAAATCATCTCCTCTGGATTAGATGTACACTCATGTATGCAACTGTCTCTTGTCATTCTGACGTCAGGTTTGTTCATACTCGGCTTCCGTCGGTGGAAATTTGTGGCTAATCACCGATCAGATGCAAGTTCCAGCACGATTTGGTGTGATTGCTGCCATGTAAGAGAGAGAACAGATTATCTATTTACCGATTAGTGCAGATGTCTGGTAGTTAGCCACTCTAGCAACGCTAAGGGTCCAGGCAGTACCCATGGCTGGCAGACCGGCTATTAAACCCGGACGGCCCTCTCACTTTTGATATAAAAAAATATGTGAGAGTTGGGCTCCACGCACGGTTGTGTTAGCTCTGCAATGGAGGCGTTTGATGAGCGCCCGCAGGAGGAGCTGAATCCTTTCCCAAACCAATGCCTCACTGGCTTGCATCTGATAGCCGCATTGTGAAACACACTGTCGATGCGGCATTGCCAGAGCCTTGTAATGATGACGGTCCCTGCGACCTCCCATATCGTTCGCCAGGCTGTGGCGAATTGATCGATGTATTCTGGGTACAAGGCGACGCTACGGTTAGTGCAGTGCTTGAGCCAATCAGTAGGTGGTTCGGCTTGTGAGGTATGCCTCCCAATGACTGATGAGCCAGGCCCACAGTGCTTGAGCACGGGACATCCCTTAAAATATGCTCCTGGGTCTTCTTCTATCCAACACATTCGCGACGCGCGCAAGTGCCGTCTGGAGGCCGATCCTGTTACCAAAAGTTTAGCATGGCTGTACCGTGTCCATAGCTATTCCGCCATCGCATGGCCGTGATCCCATACTGAGCCGGCGAGACATCGAGAGCTGCGTGTTGCCACCGCGTGTTCTTGCTCTTGGTGAGCAGTCTATCAATGACCTACTTCAGCAGTGCTGCGAGACGACGCTTTGTCGCCTGAAAAGCTTGCTGTTTCAGGAACATGAAGATGCGATAATTGGGAACCATAGGCGGTGCGGACCATGGAAAGTGCTGGATTTGTTAGCTGGAATAAGAGATGACCCCATTTTGGATGAGCTTTCGCTCCGCGAGTTAGGTGGGCTTTCAGATGTTTCTTTGACTGGCGGCGGTTCACCGTCAAACCAAGTTATTCCATTGTGGCATTGAATAAGCTCCCAATTCTAAGGGTTCCCAGAATCGACCGAGAGAGAGGTACCTTAAACCCTGCCGGTCCCACCTGAACTCAGGTAATGGCTTGGGTGAAAGGGGGTTGGTGCCGTAGCCTGAGTGGAGTCGTTCTCCCCACCGGATTTCCAACGTTAAGTGACGGCGAAGAAAGTAAAATAATGATCCTTCGTTCTTAAAGTTTTGCATGCGAATGACGGGGGACGTGGGGGTCCGTGCAGACTCCGTCAAAGGCGTATTACTGGGGTTCTGTCCGCTGGATGTGGAGTTGGGCGATGGAAACGTCGCAAATTCTGTCATACATGGGCCAAGACAGCTCCGACCCCTATGGTGCGAGAATCCAGGGGCCACTACTCTACTTAAAGTCTGCCAGAAAATCTTTGATCTTCTGGAGCCAAAACTCGGATTCCTGAGGCCGACCGGGAAGAGGTTCTAAAAGGTGCAATATCCAGTCGCTCTCTTCCCACCAACTGGTCAATGATAGGAGAAGGTTTGGTCGATGCTCTTTAACTAATGCAAGGATGTCCTCTATGTGCGTGATTGCTGGCTGCAACGTGCATCCGAGATCATAAAGTAGATCCGGATGCCTCTCGGAAGACGGCGCTGTGATATGTTTTCACGCTCGGTTGATGGGGGCTAACGGACATGCTCGGGGTACCATGCGTTACCCAGGACATCCACGCTGTGAGATATGCATCCTTAAGCGCCAGTAGCGCGTGTTTCACCCGCTTGTTTTGATGGCGACGGGACGGAAAAGAGGCCAATACCTCCAGCCTTGCGGAAAGTGTAGGGGAAGCCTGGTGCGACTTTGTGTCTCTCGGGTTCGATTTTTTGTTGGACGTATTCCAGAGGAATTGTTTGTACAGGTAATCAAGTTGCTTGAGCGCTCAGCCGGGGGGGGAGCTTGAATACCGCTGCCATGAACAATCCCGGGTGAAACAATCGCGTTGAGAATCAGAGCGCGAAGCTCGAGGGTCGCCGACGTTCGCGTTGCCGTCAGGAGGCGGCGCTGTGCACTTTTGATGCGTAGGGAGGGACCCGTTCATATTCCGTAATTTTCTTGTCCCCACTTGATAGCCGAGATACCGCGTGGTTGTTGACGGAGCAACCACTGCGATGCTGGTACGTGCGTTGACTGATAGTCGTGTTGAAAAATAATTTGGCTTTTTTAGTCGGTTGCACCTGCAACCCCGACAGCCGTCCAATTTGTAAGCTACAAATGAAACTAGAAATGCAACAATTCCTATGAAATGTATGTATGTGTGTATGTGAACGCGTTTCGCGAGCCATCTTGCCACAAAAGTGGCTCAACCATCGCATACGTCGGGTTATCTCTCATTCTCTTCGTTTCTCTCTTCTCTCGACCTAAATCTATTAAGCAGCGCATGCGCTACAAGCGCCTCGGTTAATTCCTTCCAGGCTACGCGGTCCTGAGCACATAGGCGAAGGAAGTACAGGTCTGGGGCACGTTAAAGGCGGTGTCCTGCTGAAAGTGTTTGAAGGTCGGCATCTAGGACCATCTGTAGCGTAAGTCGGCGTCTGCCTCTCCATTTGCCGGTCTCACTGGGGCTGAAAAAAGTTTCCATGAAGCGGTAGGCTGGGATGCCTGCTGGTCTGCGAAGGATGTGGCCAAAAAGGCTCCATCGGCTGCGAAGCAAGTGAAATTGGAGTGGCTCAGTCTGGGTACGGTCGTAGAGCATGGCACTGGAGATCGTGTCTGGATAACGTACGCCAATCACTTTGCGGAGCTGTTGATGATGGAAACTTTTGAGGCCGTATAGCACGGAATCGATAAAGGTCCAAGTCCCGCAATTGTATTGCAGGATTGGCAAGACGTAGCAGTTGTAGATGCGATGCGCGTAGTTTCCGAGGTCTTCGATGGCCGAAGCCAAACTTTCCACATGCGGTGGAGCGCGGCGGACGCTATATTCTTACGACGGGAGGCGTCTTCTGCGTCGCTGAGGATAGAATCTAGTTTGCGCGTAATGCGCCAATCTTCATCCTTGGCACGTGTAATCGGTTGGACTGCGCAGTTGGGCTGCGGTGTACGATGGTGCGTTCGGTCTTGGATGTGTCCATTTGGAGTCACCATTTGGCCAAAACAGCAGGAGCTTCAGTCTCGATCAGGGTAGCTATTTAAGCGCTTTGGCAGAAGAAGTCGGCGTCGACGGCGTACACGATCATGTCAGCCAGGTACGTCGGGTTGGCTGGCTAGGTCTCGTAAAGCTGCTTTAAGGCAAACAACAAAAAGAAAAGGGGACAATAAACCATCTGGGGAAGCACCTGTATTGCTTTCAAAAGGTGAGAGCAGGCGATTGCCGAGTCGGAGGGAGAGCATTGTGTCCGGATCAGTTGAACTTCATCATCATCAAGAAGTGGATCGAGCAAGGAGAAAAGTTTGTCGCGGTTGACGGTGTCAAAAGCACGGGAGAAGTCGATCCCAAGAATATGAAATTGCTCTTTGTACCTCTGAGCACGTGCTGCTATCCACCTGTGGGCTGGCCCACACTGCATCAGCAGTGTTGCGACTGAGTCGGAGACAGAAATCGTTCGATCTTGGGGGAGATGCCGCAAAGCACCACTAAAGAGATCGCCTTGCGGATGCTGTTGAGTAGGATGATAGGTCGAAGGCTAGCGCATTGGCCAGCCGGCTTATTTGGCTTGGGGAATCCGAGAAGAATCCCGTCGCCCAGGTGAATGTTGTCTCCTGTGGCGAGTCCTTGATTGATGATGTCGGCGAGGGGTTGAGCTAGTAGCTCTGATCCATACTTGAGTAACTCGGCAGGTATAGAGTCCGCCCGGGGCACGTCCATTGCGTAAGCGACGGAACGCGCGTTCGAGCTCGTATGCGGTAATCCGGTTTTTCAGGGGCGTGGAAGGCCGTCGTCGGCGACGGGCCGGAGTCCGAGAACTGGTTCGCGAAGTGTTGCTTAAAAAAATCTTGGTACCTGCTTCTTGGCGGCTGAGACTGTATTTGCCTGTGGAGTCACATAGCGAGGTCATTGGTAAGCGCCGTCGGAAAAGGGCGCGCATGCCTTTAAACATGTGAGTCGAGCGGTTTGACTGTTCAATGATGGCAAGTTTCTCGTCGATGAAAGCTGTAGGAAGAGCTTTGCTGCGTGCTTGGATCCGGTGCAAAAGTCAATTGCGTTTAGTGCGTAGAACCGTGACGTCTTGCATGTGGTTGTTGTAGATGAGCTGCCGAAGGTGACGTTGTTCGTGCGAGAGGCAGAAAAGTTCGGGATCCACCACTTGAGTATGGTGGGCGAGCGGCATGAGCCGACAGAGTCTTCCGGAGCCTGTAGTGCAGTGTAACGTGTGCATTTTACATACACACCTGCCACACCAATGTGGTGTGGCTGTACCTTGGGTACAAAAGTAGGTGATGTGACCGTACCTGAAGTACGAAGGGTCACATCGTCACGTGGCATTATACTTCTTTAAAGAATAGTGACTATGCATGTTTGCATAATAATAACAGGCTAAAGAGCCAGTAAATAGTGACTAGCACTAAGTATAGGATAGGTGCTTCTATATTTAGTGTTGGAAGATAAACATAACTGTAAATCAGTTTCAAATCTGCTCTACAAGCATCACTGCTTGAGCATTCTATTCCTTTTAAGGAATCAGTATCCTTGATACTAGTCTCTTTGAGACCCGGTTGTAACAACCGATAGGTACAAGCTTACGAGCTAGCCTGGGAGGGTCAAGCACCCTAAGACGTAGAAGCTGTCTGAACTTGTCTTCCTCTGCACATAGTGCATAAGTAGCGTAGCTACAGTAGCTTGGCTACACCTGGTAGCACTTGTAGTCAATCTCGCACCTGGGTTTGCGACTACTTCTATGTGTGAGAATGGACATCGATGACATGCCAGCGGTTGGCTTGTCACAGGCAGGCACAACAGGAAGGGTTGCAGAAGCTGCTCCCTATCCTTGGCCCTAAGGGCATGGAATACCTCATCGCCCAGGGCGAAGAAGAGGTTAACAAGCGTATTCATATGCTTGATGAATATAATAAAGCTCTAGTCGAGCATGTAAAGGCACAGATGTCTTCTTCTGCGCCTTCGCCCATGGCGACTATGGCGCAAGAAGTGGTCCGCATACCAAAACCCAAACAAATGGAGTCGATAAGTTCGACGGCAAAGAAGGTGACAGCCTTATGCTTTGGTTCCGACAGGTTGAGTCGGCTATGTTTTTAGCCGACATCACCTATGAGCCGTTTCGTGTGGGCTTTGCGACGAGCAAGTTAGGTGGCTTAGCCAAACAGTGGGCATCATGTGGTGCATCATTGCAAGATGCTTTTCCCACATGGACCGATCTGAAAGTACAGATGACCCGGCAGTATGCACCGCCAAACCAAGCACACCGTAATCGGTCGCGGTTTTTTGCGTGTCGCCAAGGCAAGCGTGAGCTTGCGGCATATGTGCAAGAGTTGAGAACTATCATTGCTGCCATGGTCATAGACCCTATGCCTGAGGCAGTGACCGTCACGATCTTCATGGAGGGCCTCCGAGTTGGCGTTGCCAGAACGGAAGTCTTTCAGGTAAACCCGTCCTCATTCGAGGCAGCTGTTGGAGTGGCATGGAATGCCGAGACCAACTATAAGGCCGCTAGGCCTGCCACTGATAACTACTCGTCTGATGGGTCTGTCTGTACCCATGGACTGTAGTCAAGTGGAGGATGAAGAAGCTGAGCTTCAAGCTGCGGAGTAGCAATTTGTGCGCAGACGTTATATCTGCAAGAGCATAGACCATTTGATGGCAAAATGTCTGCAAGAAAGGCATATTTGGCCTCGAAGGGCCGACGCCTCATGGGTAAACCTTCTGATTTGCCGCGGGGAAACGGCGAAACCCAGTAGGCGCGGGGCGCCCTACTGGGAAAGAACTGAGTTTTGTTGAGCCTCTAGGAGATAGAATTAAAAAGGGCCCAGCCCCAAAGAGATCCGAGCTCTCAAAAACGAAACGAGAATGCAAGCCAGGCTTGCTAGTCGTCAAAGGGACGATTAAGGGCTATGATAAGCCATGGATCATTTTGATCGATTCGGGAGCATCGGGCAATTATGTGCGCCGTGACACCGTGGAAGGTAGTCAGCAGTATGCTGAAGCGCTTGTAGCGCGTGAAAGTGACACAGTCACAGCTCACTTAGCGACGGGTACGTGTGTTACGGTACCCAAAGTCCCGATGGAGTTAGTTGTAAAGTTCTTGGATTTTAACAGCATGGAACGCTGTTTGGTCTTAGACCTAGATGCGAAGTATGACCTCATCTTAGGCATGTCATGGCTAGAACGTCATGAGTCATCGATTGATTGGAGGTCGAAGACCTTTGGCGCAACGCGCAATGCTCCTGGTGGGGCTCTGGAGAGTCATGAACCCACCTCTGCTAGGAAGCAAAAAAAGCTTTTGGCGCGGATATTGGACCGAGTCAGTCAATATGTTGGATGTCGGAACATCCGACTTCATAGACACTGTAAGTGTTGAGGACAATAGTCTTGGGCGAGGCCCAATGACTTTCGATAGTGTGGTTGAGAACCCACTAGATAGCACATATGACATGTGTCATGAGAATGATGTTACATCATTAAACACCGCGAGTGGTGTTGGTGGCTGCAAGCCAAGATGTCAGGACATGAGTCCGAGTAACGTGGGTGACGAGGAACTGACCCTGGAGGGCCATTTGACGTCACAAATGGATGTTGTATTTGAGGACAACGAGGTGCGAGCACCTCATGACGAAGCATTGACCCAAGAGGGTGGGGTGCAGTCCGTAAACGAAGTGGTCTTTGATCTTGAGATGTGTACACCTGTAGACGCTGATGCGTCAGATGCTGAGAGCATCATGAGTAGCGATAATGATATCGTGAGTGACGGTGATAGCGAACAGATATATACACTCGTCAATGGTTTGACTGGGTATGTTGAAGAGCCGGTGGCTCTCTCAGCAAGACCCACAGCAAGTGCTCTGTTAGATCTGGACGAGTTGTCCTTTGCCGAGTTTGACAGTGCCTTATAGGCAGGCGACATCGCCGAAGTGGTCGTTATACGACCTGAGGAGGAGTTGAACTCCTCAACGCTTTTGGATAAAGCAGTTCTTGAAGATACCAAGAAGGCTCTGAATGCGCATAGCGGATCACAGATCCTGAAGAACCCTTCGGATCCTTACTTTCCTTTGTTGAAGGAATATGGAGATGTTGTCTCCAAAGAACCTCCGACGAGTTTACCTACCGATAGAGGTGTGCGTCATGAGATTGACTTGGTTCCAGGAACCAAATGCTGTGTGACACGACAGTGACCGCTGTCACGAAAACAATGTGACGTCATTGACGAGTTCTTTCGTGCAAAGTACGCGGCTGGCATGGTGCGTGAGAGTAAGTCTCCTCACTCTACGCTCACGTTTTGTGTGAGGAAGTCTAATGGGAAGTGGCGAATAGTGCATGCTTACAATAAGCTGAATGCAGCCACTATCCCGGCTCAAACACCGATTCATCGCAAGGATGTTCTCACAACAATATGGTGGGATGTACGATGTACAGTGTCCTCGACTTAGTCGATGGATATTATCAACTGCTCATGCGAGCTGGTGATATCCCGCTGACAGCGGTCAGTACTCCGAGCGATATGCTCGGGGAGTGGTTAGTGATGCCTCAAGGGCTGTCTAACGCACCTGCAATGCTTAATTGTCTAGTGATGCAGTTGTTTCGGCTCCATAGGGTGTATGCACAGATATACTTTGACGATATATTCGTTCATAGTCGAGCCGAAAATGACAAGACTGATGTGGAGA